TGATCGGGGCAACTAGTGTTGGCTTCAGTCGCGACACCGGATGTGTCAGCGACCGCAGGCTCAGGCACGGATGCAGATGGTTCGGATGCAACGGATGCTTCTCCTACTGGACCTGCCTCGTCACCTAAACCTAAAAGATCAGCTGTCTCAACGTCTGGATCGGCTTGCTCAGCAAGAGGCGACGGCTCACCTGCAGGACGGTCTTGACCTTCTTCCTTCACACGATCTAAATCAGCAAAGGTGGCTTCAGCTGGAACTTCGTTGGGGTCAGCCTCAACCTGATCAAAAGCTTGGTCTGCAGTGTCCGTCGCGACTTCGTCAGCGACCTCTTCTGGCACTCCAATCACAGAAAGAACGGCACCCAATGTTGTGGCCTCTTGGAACTCCTCCTGCTTCACCTCCAACAGATGTCCTTCGGCTCGATCTGTGTCAGCTACTGCAGATGTTCCCTCAAGAGACGGCTCGGGCGCAAAAATATCCTCAGATGCGTCTGCCCAGGAGGCGACAGGTTCGGTCGCAACTTCCACAGATTGGGGAACAGGCTGCTCAACCCTCTCTGCGTCCGTCGCTTCCTCCCCCTCGCCCGCTGGAGCTTCGGTCGCGAGTAACTCAGCGACCTCCTCAGACGTATCTGTGGGCATGCAAAAAGTGACAGCGAAAGATGAATGCGATGTTAGGGCCTAATCAAAGTGTTGGTGATTTAGGTTCCCTAAACTAACAAGCCTTACGGCTGATAACCAGACAAACGGAGGGACAAACCGGGAACCCCAAAACAGAACCCAATTCACCAACACTCCGCATGAAAACAAGAACAAGCACCCCTTTTTTGCTATGGGGCACTTGAGCCACGCGTCAACCAGCGGCAAGTTTATAACCCATACCCGGTGGTTGTTGGATATGGAAACTAAACCCTGGAATAAGCTATGGCTACTCTACATGTATAACGCTTCTATACATGTGGTGCTACAACTGTACATATGTTTGGATGTACTACTTCGGATGTGATGGAATCATAGCTATGGCATGTCTACACTAGACCTACTACCTATGCTATACATTGTGGGGCTCAGGGGTCGATATATTTCAACTTGTATGCCCATTAAATCCCATGAATATAGCCTTAAACTCATAAATCAACACTATGAAAATGGCTTAATCTGACTTGATATGAACCAAACAGATTATTTTCCCCGAAAAAAATGTGTTCCACATCCATGTGTATGTTTATCCCGAAATCCAATAGTAAATCACAATGATTATGTTTGTTGAAACCCATTAAATCACTACTTTTCGGTTACCCTCTGGTAAACTAACATACTAACATAGCCATGGAAAATCACAATGTTTAGTATGTAAATCATCGAAGTGAATGGACCGTTTTCTATAGCTATATGTTAGTTTACTGGAGGTTAAATCCCATTAAATCACCATAGTTTATTGGTTAAATCCCGTCGAGTCATCATAGTTATTGCTTAAATCCCATTAAATCACCATAGTTTTATTGGTTAAATCCCGTCGAGTCATCATAGTTATTGCTTAGATCCCATTAAATCACCATAGTTTATTGGTTAAATCCCGTCGAGTCATCATAGTTATTGCTTAAATCCCATTAAATAACCATGGTTATTGCTTAAATCCCATTAAATCACCATGGTTCTTGCTTAAATCCCATTAAATCACCATTGTTTATTGGTTAAATCCCATTAAATCACCATAGTTATTGCTTAAATCCCATTAAATCACCATGGTTATTGCTTAAATATCCCAAAATCACCATAGTTATCGCTTAAATCCCATTAAATCACCATGGTCATTGCTTAAATCCCGTTATGTCATCATAGTTATTGCTTAAATCCCATTAAATCACCATAGTTATTGCTTAAATCCCATTAAATCACCATGGTTATTGCTTAAATCCCGTTATGTCATCATAGTTATTGCTTAGATCCCATTAAATCACCATGGTTATTGCTTAAATATCCCATTAAATCACCATAGTTATTGCTTAAATCCCATTAAATCACCATGGTCATTGCTTAAATCCCATTAAATAACCATAGTTATTGCTTAAATCCCATTAAATCACCATAGTTATTGCTTAAATCCCATTAAATCACCATGGTTATTGCTTAAATCCCGTTATGTCATCATAGTTATTGCTTAAATCCCATTAAATCACCATAGTTATTGCTTAAATCATTAACTTAAATCCCATTAAATCACAATGTTTATCGGTTAAATCCCGTTAAGTCACCATAGTTATTGCTTAAATCCCATTAAATCACCATGTTTATCGGTTAAATCCCGTCAAGTCACCATAGTTATTGCTTAAATCCCATTAAATCACCATGTTTCCAAGACCGATTCCAGGTTAGATTTCTATCCAATCTCGCCACGATGAAGTCATCGGCCATCTCTGAGACGTGAAGCAAACCCACTCTGTCCTGGCGAAAAATTGATGGTTTCTAAGGAAGAAAAATGAGGAAATCATAGGAAACCCATTGGAAAATGTGAGCAATAACCATATGACAAATTCTGATTTCAAGTGTTTTATAGCTGATTTATGATAGTCAAGTTGGTGCAAATACCTCAATATAACGAATGGATTTGTGATGGATATATCCAAGCACCAAAAAGGTCCGGGAAAACATGGGGAGAATTGGTCCGGATTCTTGGTGGATTCATGGTGGATTTATGGTGGATATATCGATGGTGGACCAAGAAAAATAGGGATTCCACCACCAATCATTGGATTGGTTTAAGGGAAAATCTACAGGAAACCATGGTTTTTACCATTAAATATGGGGTTTCCGGTTTCAATTTTCCCGTAAACCAATCTAATGAACCAAAAAATCTGGGGCATTCAGAGTTGATTTATGATGATTTATGATATGATTCGTTGGTCGGCTAAAATCGATTTGTGGAGATGTCATAGTTGATGCCCCTTGTATCGAGAAGCTTTGGAACCCTGCTGTGCTTTGGAACAAAACATAGCTGAGGCGCTATGTTAACCCAAACGCTGTGGCCAAACTAACGGAGATTCGAAAAGGATGACTTGTTTCAAACTCCAAAGGATTTTGGGATACCTTGGGGGTTTTATCATCCCAAAACATGGTGCTGGAAAACCCATCGCGCCTCCCCTTGCCAGTGCACCTTCACAAAGGCGCCTAAGGCGCTATGCTCGTTGGGATTCCAGTTATCCACTGGTTTAATGCTGATTTGATGGGATTTATATATATATATATGGATTTATATCCTGGTGATTTTGATGGGAAATCATAGGAAAACCATTGGAAAATGGTGATTCAATGATGATCCACTGGTTTAATCCAAAAGTTATCCAGTTAGTTTGCAAGTATTCTAAAGCGTATATTCCGAATGATCATGCCCTGATCTTTCCTTTACTGATGAATTTTGACCATGGTTGATCTTAATCCCAGAAACCACTTCATATTCCCAGAAACCATGGTGAAGTAGGGGATGAAACCACATATTTAGGACCATTTATATAGGGGGTGTTTAATATGAACGGGGGATGGGATTAATTCAAGAATGTGTTGTTATACAAACCCTCAATGTGTGATTTCATATCCCCACCTTATACATATACATATACATATACACATGTATCTATATTATATATATATACATAGATATATATATATACACACATAGATATGTATATATATATATGTATAGATGTATATGTATATTCCAAGTATATTCCCATTATATCTCCATGGTACCCCCATGATATCCCCATGATAGTTGCTTTCCATTTTCCCAGTTGAGGGGCCTGGCCAGCACTAGTCACTGGGCTGTCACACCGTAGGACATTGTCTTGATCTGGGCAGAGATGTGGAATCGGAATCCGCGTAGGGCGTGGCAATGGTTGGGATTTAACCAACGAAAATTGGGGATTTTACCATGGAAAATTGCCCATTTATAGATGGTTTTCCCAGCTATAAACCTCAATTTATGAGGGATTTTCAATGGCTATGTTAGTCATAACCAGATGGTAAATCATCCATAGGTAATTTACCACATATGGATGATTTGGCTTTATTTAACCTATTGTAATTTAACATAGTGATAGAAAACTACCCAATTAGTAATAGGTAACTATAGCTAAATCATCCATATATGGGCCAGCTTCTACATAATAGCTATGTTAAATAACCAGAGGGTAAGCATCAAAATATGAAGTTATGATTTCTGAAGCATCAACATGTGAGATTTGAGCAGAACATATGACGTTCACCGGATTGGTAAAAGGGCAAAAACTGGTTGAAACCATGGTTTTGAGGTCCCAAATCTTGGATTTGCTTAAGGCACATATATATATATATACATATATTGGGTGCATATGTTTGGGTGATTTTTCATTTTAAAAAAAAAAAACTGTTTTTTGTTTTTCAGTCCGGGGCACTTTTCCTTGCTATTTGCCACATTTCGGAGCAAAAACCTGTACTTTGCTGAATTTTGGCACTAAAATTTGCCATTTGCATTGTTCCTCGATTGTTGAAGCACAACCGTGTTGGGTCTAAATAGTGGCATTGGATGCTATCATAGTGTTGGTTGGTTTAGGGTTTATTTAGGGTTGGTTTAGGGTCATTTAGGATTGGTTTAGGGTTGGTTTAGGGTTTATTCAAGGTTGGTTTAGGGTTGGTTTGAGGTTTATTTAGTGTTGGTTTAGCGTTTATCCAGAGTTATTTAGGGATGGTTTAAGGTTTATTTAAGCACAGTCAGTTCCAAAGTTTCTGTAGCAAGTTGCTGGTGAAATGTATCGCGCAATCAATTCTGATCCCCTCATCGGAACTCATCTACCTTGACCCATTACTTCTAGGTACTGGCAAATGAAGAATCCCATCCCCCAGTGTTCCAAGATCCCCCAAATATCCCATGGTTGCGTAGTTGATCCACTGATATTTGGGGGACCATTGGATACCAGGCATGGCTTGTGACAAGTTGTGACCTGGCTCTCACAAAGCCCAGCAAAGCTAAGTCGCTACAGAGCCGGTCAGCCAAATGCCCTTCTCAATCTCAGGGCCTTGGTTGAGAGCTCAGTTGAACCACTAAAATATCATCAGAAAAAATAGAGCATATTTTTAAATAATGGTTTGTCATTATAATTTTAAACCACAAAAAAATATCATCAGTTAACCATCTCATCAAACCATAGTTGTTTCAGGCGCGCTATCATGACATCATACGTGGATGAGCCATCATCATCTACTCGACCTATGGACCTATGCCCCTGAGAATATCCTGTAAGAAAGGATCCTTCTATCAGGAAACCACATGATGATCGGCATGGTCTCCACCAATGCATGGCTCGATCCATTCAGTTTCCATGCAGCGAATTTGGTCTACCTTGGATCATTGGATCAAATGTCCAACCATCAATAGGATTCGATGCTGCATGTAAGCAGAAAGATCTATATATATATATGTGTACATTATCAATGGGTGCATTCCACGTCTAGGTGCCTAGATATGATTATACATGTGTCTAAATAATATTTTATGTACACAACTCACACAATTGTATGTACGTATTGGGGCGCGGGGCAATTGAAGTTTATGATTTGAACAGAATCCTTGTGAATTACCATCAATTGCAAGAAGCATTACTCAATACACTAGTCTTATCATGTATGATTGTGGATACAATATATGTGTATGGCTGTGTGTTACTACAGTACCTCTCCCAAGAAGCGTGCACTGGGGGTCCAGTTGAGGTTACAAGTTGGTAAAACCATGGTTATTGGGATAAGCAGCGGGTTATATTAATTATATTTAATTATCGCTTAGTTTACTGAGTCTACTGCACTTCCAGTCACTTCCAAGTGATTGATCCACTCAACTTGATCCGAACTTCCAAGTGCTTCCACAGAAGATCCCCATTACAAAACCCGAATTGGCCGCGACACTCTCTTCATTCTGTTGCAGCCTCAATGAAAGTCGACCGCCCTCCGTAGAGAGCACGGACACTAAGACCTCCTCTCCCACCGAAACCGTCTCCTGCGGAGCAAGAAAAAGTGGTGAAATGAGAATGGTTGAGGTACAAAACTCCCATGAAGCCCAAAAATCTCGATTTGAGCTGATTTACGTGATCAAAAACTCGCGAAAAGTTGGAGTTCAAGCTAATTCAAGAAATCAAAACTGAGTAAATTTTGAACTACACTCTTGGAAAGTCACATGGAACCCTAAAGAATGGGCTTGGAAGATCCTCTTCCGATTGGAAATCGAAAATTTTCTGATTCCACGTCAGCTTTCAGGAAGTACTCAACACCGAACCGGGAGGCTTGGAGGTTGCAAGTGACCCAGATGTTTCAAGTAAGGTTTGCCACCAACTTATCATCTAAGTCCCATTTTTTCTTGCTCAAATCCACACTGTTTGTTGCTAGAACAGGCACCCAGGCACCTCTACAGAAGGCACGAAGCCGCCTGGATAGTTTGGCTTCCAAAAAAAAGGAAAAAACGGAGATATGTATCCCCAAGCCTGTGTTTTCCCTCCAGAATTTCTTGCACCCCAATGTTAAGTGGTGATTTTGATATGCTGAAGCTTTGCAGGAAGTATGCCCAAATCATCGCTTTTCCCTACGAAAAAAACCATGTTGGGGTGAACTTGGATCAGCTTCCAAGCTCTGATCCCCAAATGTGAACTGTCCCGTGTCCATCCTTGGGGAAATCTCAAGACAGTGCTCTAAGAATATCCCCAAAAAGGATTCGAACATTTTGGCAGAAGGTCTACCCTCTGGCAAGTCAACATAGCGAAAATGGATGAAAATGTTGAAATAGATGATTTGCCTATTAAAAATGCTGATTTTCAATAGCTATGTTGAATCATCATTAGGCAATCCAAATCCTTCAATTCACGGATCCAACCTCGTATGGGCCTGAAAATGTGGTCCGCAATTTATGGAACTTTGATGGAAACTTTGGTGATTCACCAGTGGATGAAATGGGCTATGGTCAAAAGATTAAGTCGCGATTATGATCATCATCCAATCCACTTCGTGTGACATTTAACAGCTAGTTCATCATAATTGTTCCCCACTATATATCCAATTATATCAAGTTAATTTATATCTATTTACCAGTTATATCAGTATATCAAGTTATCAATTGTCCCATTGTATATGTCTATATATATACATATCCTCACAACCATTACTGCTTACAGTTATCATATAATTAATTAACTATCATAACGGTTAACACATTATATCCCACAATAACTATCATAAATATAATTCTTTGATTATAATCGTTATATCCCATTAATCAAAGAGTTACAGTTCATTACTATTCATTAACTATCATATATAAGTGATTACATTTCATCATATCAGTTGGGTCTTTGGACTGAAAAACAAAAAAACTCTGAGCCAAAACCAACTGTTATGACCCCGTAGAGAACAAAGAAAGTTGATTTTATCAATAAAAAATAAATTTAAAAAAATATAAAAACGGAATCACCAAAAAAACAACTCGACAGGAAGAGTCACCAGAAAAAAAAAGAACAAAAAAAAGACAAAACCTGCATTTTCCTCAATTTTTGTTTGTTTTTTATTTCTTTTTGTTTCTTTCTTGTTTTGTTTCTACGAACCCCCCCCAAAATCTCTGTGCTGCTGGACTCAGCAGAACCAACTGCCGCTTGCGTCACTTGGCCGAGCCGCGGCCCATCTCGGAGACATGGATGAGCCTGGCAGTCGACCTATCCGATAGAAGGCTGAAAAATGGGATTAGATTATAGTAAATTAGTATTACCCTCTGGTAATTTAACATAGCTATTGAAAATTGCAATTTATAGTGGATTTACCCATTAAAAATGGTGATTTTCCATAGCTATGTTAATTTACCAGAGGGTATATATTATCACATATATATATAGTATGATAGTAATACTGTAATACTGATCTTATAGATTAAAATGTAAATTAGGACATTGTACCATCTTACATATGTCATCATGTATGAGTATATATTATGTTATATAGTATGACTAGCCTATTGTATAATATACCTACTGTACTTTATATTATATTACTGGCAGTCACGGAATCCTCACAATATAGATGCATAATATTATGAGATTATATATATGTATATACGTATATATATATATACACATATGTGGTGTGTATGTATATACATATATATATATGTTTATATGGCAGTGTGTCAAAACCTTGTACCCCTGGTGAACATCAAAATAGCTGGTAAATGGATGTTCATCCCCCTAAAAATGGTATTAATAGGTATTGACCCATACCCATATCTTTACATATAATATCTGCAGGTAGAACAAAAGCAACTTGTCGAAACAGTTGAAGTATCCGCAATTTTGACAGAAACCCAAGTATGATATCAAGTTGATGAAACATCCCACTACATCATATTATATCCAGCAAAGAAATCACCCGCTATATCCGTTCAAATACACCGTTATTATATTGTTACTCGTGGAATATTGAAATATCCCCATTACTTGGTGCATGTTAAATACCCCAAACTCAGGATTTATATCTTTAGTTTCTATTCATTTTAGATATTTTCCCAACAAAATAAGATGTTCTGAACATACATCCAAATGAATAAAAGTATAAGTTCGTATTATTGATGGTCAATAGGTTTATAAATCATTCCTTTTCCATTATATCCCCTTGTATCCCAAATATATCGCTATAAAACCGAACAATGTTGTTGCTGAAATCTACCTGTTTGCTAGTTAAACCCACTAGTACTGAATAAGTTGCATTCAACTGACTAAATTTTACCCGTCTATATATATATATATATATACCCACCCTTGTTAATATGGTTACCCTCCGGTAATCAAACGTGGCTGGCTGAATACCCCAACTCAATGGATAATAGCCGGGAAAATCATGGAACTAAATGGAAAATTTCCCGCAAGCTATATTTGATTAGCAGAGGTGATATTCCCAGCCACAATCTCAACTATAATTTCAATTTGTGTTCCATCCCAAATATGTATAAATATGTAATGTAGTTGAACATCCCAATTATTATCTCAACTACATCCCTTTTTTCATCCCTATTCTTGCTGACTAAAGCATCCACTTTACCATCCATGTTACAACATTTATGATACACTCCCATGTCCTCATCATTGTTGGGCTCAGGCTCCCATGTCCTCTTTATATCCTTATTGTTGTTGGTTTTTCAACATCCATGTTACATCCAGTTTGCATCAGTGAGCAATAGCATACATAAAAATATCCCAAGTATACCCTCAGTCAAACGTGGCAAGCTGGAAAATCCACCATTTTTCAGTGATTTTCCCATTTAAACCTCTATTTTTTGAGGGATTTTCCAGCCACGTTTGATGACACCAGAGGGTATCCCCATCCTTCTTGGTCATTTCTCGGTCATTTCTGCCGGGCAACCCGCGACAGGGCTCTCCCCCAGCTGGTGGCTGCACCATCGCGAAGGCGCCAAAGGCAGGAGTCCTTTGGTTCTGGTGGTGTTAACCAACAAATTTTCCGGATAGAATTGGGAAGTTTGATAGGATATGGGCATTGAATGGCACAATATTGGGATGATGACATTCTATCTAATTCGCATATAATTAGGAGATGTTTATTATAATTATATATATATGCATAATGGGACAATCATGGGATCAGGATCTTTCTTTTGGTTTGCCATTGATTTTATGGCCCATTCATACCTGATTGACCTATTAAACCTGGTGATTTTCCATAGCAACTGTAAAATTACCAGAGGGTACCGCTCAAGTGGGAGTGTTTAAGAAAAATCGAGTTTTAACATGGTTCAATCAATCTGAAATGAGGATTCAACTACATTCAACTTCGAGATCTTCGAAGATAAAATCAGGGATGCAACCCGGAAATTTGGATTGCCGTCAACAGGAACCAATCGAATTTGGAGCGGGAATTGGTCACCAGTGGTTAGTTTTTCTCTGGTGAGTTCGACCTACTCTCTGGTAAACTAACATAACTATGGAAAATCACCATTTTTTAATGGGAAAATCAACTATAAATGGGAAAATTAAACCTATTTATGACTCGGACAATGCCAGGACATTGGGACTTATGAACCAAGGCTTTTCAGCCACTTCCCAACTGGATGGGTCAAGACCATGTAACATATGGGTGCCCTGATTTGGCCAATTATTCCTCAGAACATGTCTTGTACCCTCATTTCTTCTTGGATTTAAATCACGATACTTAATATATATATGTTTTATTTATTTATTTTTATATTATATTTGTATATATTTATATTATATTATGTTGTATTATAGTTATAGTTATAAATATAGTTATAATTATATCATATTATATTTTAATATCTTATATTATATTATATTATATACCATATTATATACCATATTATAGTATATATTATATTATAGTATAGTATATATTATGTTATATATTATATTATATATTTTATATTATATTATATTATAATTATATTATATTATATATCATATTATACTATATAATATTATATTATGTATTAAATTATACTATTATACTATATTATATTATATTTTAATATATTATATTATATTCATTTATATTTTATTATATTGTATTATATTATATTATATTATATTTTATTATATTATATATTATATATTATATATTATATATTACATGATATTATATTATATTATATACTATATTATATTTTATTATATTATATCATATTGTATTATATTATATTATATTTTATTTCATTTTATTTTATCATATTATATAATATTTTATTATATTATATTATAGTATATTATATTATATTGTATTATATTATATTGTATTATATTATATTATATATGTACATATTCACTATCCTGAAGCCCATTTTAGGACGGTTTCCCTTCCAACTCCCATCATTTTTCGCTGTCGGCACTCTGTGATGGTCGCACGCAAGAGCGCATCGGGCGGAAGGTCTCGAAACGCCTCGGTCGAATCCATCGGAATCCAGCGGAAGAAGGGGCGGATTCCAAAGTTCGCTAAGTTGGAAACCATAGGAAACCATAGGAAAATAGGGGATTTAACCAAGAAAAATTGAGATTGAATGGGAATTGTAGCTGATTTATGATAGCTAAGTTGGTGCAAATAACTGTAATAACTAGGACGACGGAGACATCGAACTAGTTAGATGGGGTTACAAACCAACAACGAACATAACGGTTGGGGCCGGCCACAAGGGGCTGGGACATTAACTGAAAGTAGTTGATATTCACAAGAAAACACTCGAATGGGGAGACATATTATATAAGTATATAACTGATATTATTTGATTGTATATGTACATCTATGTGGTGTACTTATTATATATACAGTAACAGGTTTGGGATGTCAATCAGTGGTCAAATGGTTAAGACTCAGGATCATTCTCAACAAAATGGGGATATGTGCCAATCAATAAGCACGGCATTGGTGGGTGAACTACCAGTGAAATATTCACCAACTGCGAATCATCTTGCTTTTTGAACGAATCCGCCACAGTCAAGAACGTGGGTGCTGGATGAAGGTGGTTGGGAAGCTCAATACGTAGCTCCAAGTGGCTCGAAAAATGGCGAATCGGGTGGAAACAACATGAAACAACCATAGCTCCTGAGCTTTCCCTTGGTTACTGGATTAGATAGGCTGGTTTTCCCGGAGACATTCAAGGGACAACATCTGGGATCGGAGGCCACTTCATTTCCAACAAGATCTACAAGTGGGGCCCCATACTCCCAAGTCAGGTGATAACGAGATCCTAGGTTGATCAATATGTCAGGCACCTAGATTAGAGTGATTAGAGGTACTGATCTATTTAAGGTCTATGCAAGGCCTAAGAGAATATGCCGACGAAATATGGCCAAAAATCGTACAAAAATTGTACCTCTGTTTGAGGCTTGTGAGGGTTTCACGGGTGGAATTGCCATCCCACTCCCCTTGGGATCGGAGGCACTGCCAGCCCCATAGAATCCGAAGATCCTTGGCTGCCATGGGAACTGACTGGTTTTCACACCCAAATAGCCGGGAATCTTAAAAACTGATGGACGTTCATCCCAACAAAAATATGTGAAAATTCCATCCAACTTTGATCCTAAGATCTTTCATCCAACAAAAATGTGGAAAAAGTCTATATCACCCTTTTGATCCATTCCAATTGTATAATGGTTTCTACAGCTAGTTCTTCCCAGCCAAAGCTGAAAAAAAATCACCCAAAATACAACGTGGTGCCCCCAGTTATAAATTGCTTATAAAGCCATGACAACTACTTCGATATATCAGCAACAAAAACCATCGTGAAATTTGGAGTTACCCTCTGGTAAACTAACATAGCTATTGAAAATGGCCATAGAAATAGTGGATTTACCCATCAAAAATGGTAATTTTCCATAGTTTTTGGTATGTTTACCGGAGGGTATATCCCATTATCATCCCATTCACCAATGTTAAGCCATTGTAACAAACCATCAAAAATCACCATTAAACCATATCTTCCCAACATTTTCCCAACATTTTCCCAACGTTTTCCCCAATATAAACCATAAATCACCCATCACCAAGGCCTCCGAGGTTCCGGTGGCTGGTGGCTTCATTGACAAGGTGAGCTTCCCCTGGGTGGAGAGCACGCGCAGCGACACGTCCTGACCGATACGGACCTCGTCCTCGATACGGATCACACGGCCCTCCTGGGAGGTGCCGGTGGTGGGTAAGGTTGGTTGAAACAACTGTTGGTTAACTTAGTTGAAGTAATATGAACTGTTGGGTTTACATGGGTTTACTATGTTTTGAGATATCTGTACTTGATGTTTGGTTTAGAAACCAACAAAAAAAATGATCTAGAATCAACTTGGGTATTGACAAGTAGATATCTGTGATGTTCATGGAGTTTATAAGCCGGGATATCATGGGAAATTTACGCTGCAATCAGCCATGTATTACTAGTCTAGCTTGATCATGAGATCGTAATAATACCCTCTGACCAAGCAGGATGTGCATGTATATACAAGTTGCTTGGTATATATATATACATACATATAATTTATATAATATATGATATAATATAATATAATATAATATGATATGATATGATATATATATATTATGTTATATATATATATTATAATAATATAAATAATAATATATATATATACATACAACCCCATTAACTAGGGATATGTCTACCATCGACCTTAGTGAAATGGTGATATTTCTTGAAATACGAGTTACAACTTCCAACTTCGCTAACTAGACGGACCATCACCTGGTGGGTGTCTAGTCGTGTGTCTTTTCGTCGTCCTTTCTTCCCATGAAAGCGTTCAACCTACAATTGCCATAACTATAATGATAATGATTGGATGCCCAGGGGAACACACAAGTGTTGGCCAGTTTGAATATTAACCTTCCAAAATTTGGGCGCCAAATTTTTGAACATGTTTTTTAATGCTATATAACAAGAAATAGGGTTGACCAACAAAATATTTGAACCTCCTTAAATCAACACAGGTCTTGAGGGAATGGCCAACATTCATGAATGGAATGCCAACAAACAGCCCAAAAAATGGTCCCAATCCCACTTGGACTTGCTTCGTGGTTGAACCCCTTCGAAGAATACGACTCAATTGCTGGTTTCCACCTTCAGCCCTTCTTGGATGGGCCCCCAGAATCGGATCCGTTTTTTTTGTAATGTGTTATAATCCATGAATCTTCTAACCCATATATGACATCCATAAACCCATGAATCCTGGGGATATGACCCATGAATCTTACGGTATCACCCATTGACCACGACCGTGGGATGCCACCGGTGCCATCGCCTTGATCTCGCCGATGTGGACAAAGCCTTCATCCTCTGCACCCACGTCCACGTAGAAACCAGTGGAGGAGATATCCTCGGCTTGGGTTTATATAATGGGATCCTTATGATCCTTGAAATACGGGGACACAAAACTCACAAAACCCGAAAACTTTGAGAATTGGAAGCCCCAAAACTGCCGTCATGCAATTTCTGACGGAACACCGATGTCCAAAGTCCTTTTTGCTGGGGAATGTCTCCATTTTAAGGCGGGCAAGCTAACATAAAAGCAAGTGGTCCATAACCAAAAAAACGGGACATGACAATGAGAAAAGCAACCATCAGAATGTAAGCAAGTAAAAGAGGGATTGGAGGCCCAGTTTTTCTGAATTTGTACCCTCTGGTAAACTAACATACAAGTAAATATTGAAAATGGCGCAGTCGAAATACTTGATTTACCCATTAATAGCATGGTGTTTTTCTATAGTTTTTTGTATGTCTACCAGAGGGTATATCCCATTATCATCCCATTCACCAATGTTAAGCCATTGTTAAGCCATCAAAAATCACCATTAAACCATATCTTCCCAACATTTTCCCATATATCACCATAGTTAAGCCATAGTTAAGCCATAGTTAAGCCATTAAAAAAGTTGGACGCGCGTTTCTTGTTGACGCTCTGCGCCCCGCAGAGCCCGGAACGATCTCCAAGGCTCCGTCACGCGGCCATTGAGCACCTCACCTGACGGATCTGACCGCCGATCACAGATTCACAGATCTGGAGATGTCCAACAGACTGTTCTTTAATGGATGATTAATGGAATTTATGATAATGATGATTAATGATGATTAATGATGATTAATGATGATTAATGATGATTAATGATGATTAATGATGATTAATGATGATTAATGATGATTAATGATGATTAATGATGATTAATGATGATTAATGATGTTCTAATTTAAGGCTAAGTAATGATATTTAATGGATGATTAATGATGGTTCATGACACCATTAATTTCACAGACTGTTCTAATTAAGTAATGGTATTTAATGGATGATTAATGATGATTAATGATGATTAACGGATGGTTCATGGAACAACAGTCCCACTATTTTCAAGAACAGTCCCACTATTTGTTCACTATTCTTTTAAAAAAAGGACAATTCTCCAAAACCCAAGAATCTCAAGAATATCCAAAAAAAAACGAATGCTCCCACTATTTTCAACACTCCGAAGGCCGTCAGCTCATCCGAAAAACCCCAGCTGAAAACGCCCTTCAAAATCCCAGGGCCTTCTTCCAGTTCTTCAATGAAATGACGTGTTTTCGGCACACGCCACGCTACAAGTGGATAGTGGTACCTCGGCCAGACCGCATCGGATGGATTTTGGTGGAAAGATCTATGGAAAACTATGGCTTTTGCACCCAAGTCTAGGGAATTTCCGGGACATTTTGGAAGCTTCGTGACCCAGATCAAAGTGGGACACCCCAGAAATTGGAGGGGTTGAACACTAAGGAATCACCAAATCAGAGTTGTTCTCTCTATCGAGTCTCACCCTTTTCGACTCGAAAAAAACTCGTCCCTGTAGGCTGGATCTTGAATTCTGACCACCAAAAAAGAGGGCATACAGTTGGTCCTTAGATCATGGAACCATATGGGTTTGTCTGAAAATAGGGTATATTCCCAATTATAGCCATTTAATAGGGATAATGATCATTAACCATTGGGTTTAGGGGTACACTATTTTCCAACACACCCATATGGAACCCCCCACAACTTCCAAGCCTTGGGACAGTGGGACCCGGTCGAACAACCGGTCGCCCAAGGCACTCATAGCCATCCTTATCGAAGCGCACGGTCAAGGTGCCATCGTTGTTCTCATGCTCCACTATGGCCTTGTAGCGACGACCCACGTGGCTACGTGGTAAATATGTCAAACCCTTGGATAAAAATCGCGAACAAAGAAACATGGCGGTCGAACTCATGTTGCCTTTTTGGTAGAATCCTAGCACCCGAGCAATACCGAAGAAAATGAACGGATTGATGTCATTTGGTAAATTTCCATTTTACCATAGTCATTAGTATTTATTATTATAATACCATAATTGGGACCATAGTCATTTTACCCAATGACCCAATAAACCATAGTTTTCTGGTGATTTTTCCAGCTAGAAACTTGATGACCGGATGGCGCCACACGTGAAGCCCAATATGATTAACCATGATTAACCATGATTGACCATTCTTAATACCACTATCAACCATTATGAACCCATCGTCATTAGTATTATATAATACCAGTGTCAACCATTATGAACCCATTGTCATTAGTATTTATTATTATATAATACCATTATCAACCATTATGAACCAATGTCATTAGTATCTATTGTTATATAATACCATTGTCAACCAGTATAAACCATTGTCATTAGTATTTATTATTATAGAATACGATTATCAACCATTATTAACCATTATTGACCATTATTAATACCATGATCAACCATTATGAACCCATTGTCATTAGTATTACCCTCTGGTAATTTAACATAGCTATTGAAAATCACCATTTATAGTGAATTTTCCCATGAAAAATGGTGATTTTCCAGTTCGTTATGTTAAATTACCAGAGGGTAACCATGGTTATAAATGATCCTGGCCTGGTACCAGAGTCCATCGTCTTCACAGCGCACTTCGACTATATCACCTGAGGACCGCATCGCCATTCATGAGGATTGGGAGACGAACAAACTTGCTACGGCAGCATCAGCACCCAATAAGGACTCATCCCACATAGAACTCGATATTTCCAGATATCACATGCTTCACCTGTAATTTTTACTCAATGTGTTTTCGGAACCATTCCATCATATCTAATATATGAAAATATATATGGAGGTTTCCTGAAATAGGGGTACCCCTAGTTATCATCCATTTTAGATTGGGATTTTCCCTTATAAACCACATAGCAATCAAAGGGTACCCCCAATTTAGGAAACCACCTTATGATTCATACGAGATTTTAATACCATCTGTTTATTTAACATAGCCATGGAAAGATCCACCATTTTTAAGAATGGTAAACCATCTATTTCTATGGGCCATCTATACCATGGCGAACTGTTAGTCATAACCAGAGGGTACATGTTGCATCATCCAAAGTTGGGGAACCTCATGGCCAGCCTATCCAAGGCTGATCCCATCACCGGATGATAAGCATGGTGATCTAAAGCCCTAGGTCCATGAACGCTAGTGATCTAATCCCATCATCTATATGAATGTGTCAAAAATATCTATGATATGTATCATAACTGTTATCCCATCTATCAGTGGATAGTCCAAGTCCAACCCATCTAGTTAGGTTTATCCCATACCGGTGGATTGAAACCCGGCGAAAAATCCCATCTCCTCCGATCGCTCCATCTCAGTGCCCCAAGGTACCCAGTTCATGGCGCAGCCTGGCGATGGCGATGAGTTCCCCTCCGAAGTGATAGGAAACTGCGAAACTGTCCCCAAATCCCTGGTTTGGAAGGGCTTTGGAAGGTGAGTTGTGGGGAGAATAGAACCAGAAAGAATGATATCTTGCTGACATTCGCATGGGAGTATGTTACCAAAAGACATGCGTATGCAATCAACAAACATGAAGATCTCGGCAAAAGTCATAGCAGGGATGTTGAAAACAACCATGCACACATTTCGACAATAATCGATGACACACGAACAACACTTTGGATTTTAATGGCCAAAAATGAGTAGGGGTCCAAATAGTGTGCCTACTTCTAGTTTTCAACCACAAGCCAGTGCCAAACCACCCATACTCATAGATGACATAGATGCACCGGGTCACCTGGGAAAAGTAGACAACATGTCCCAACCGTGAAACTTTGGCCCTTTTTGTGGTTCTTCACCATCAAGAAAAACAAGGTCGTGAGAAATTGCCCAGGTTTCATTTTTGGATTGCGTTCAGGGAAGTTTGACATGAGAGCATTGCCTTTACCATCAGATATGGGTCTGAAACATACAACTTGTGGATTTCTCTATTTAAAAAAAGATGGCCAATTGAGATGGGTTTGTTTGACAATCTTATCATCTATCTATCATTCATTGGTTCACGATATTTTCACAATCTTAAGCCCACTTAGGGAATCATTTCCCATGGTTACCCTCTGGCTGTTTAACACAGCTATGAAAGCCATGGCCCATGAAAATAGATGACAACAATGATGTAACTATGAATTCCATGGTGATTTTCCAGTTTGCTACGTTCAATCACCAGAGGGTAACCACTGAAAATGGAGATATAGTTACAGATTGATAGGATTTTAGGGGATTAATCACTTGAAGTTTCCTAGAATCCTATCAATCTGTAACTATATCTCCATTTTCAATGGTTGATCACCAATACTGGGCATTATTTCCCATGGTTAATCACTTGAAGTTTCTCGCCACGCCACGTCCGCGACCCCGGCAACGCTCGCTGTCGAGTGCTGCATCTCTGCTTCGGGACCCCGGGACCTCAGCATTGCGCTGAGCGCTGTCCCCAAAAAAATCGTGATATGAGCAATAAACAAGTCGATTGGACCAATTAGAATAGGATATCTTTGCAACAAACATAGAGATTTCACCTGCGACAAACGGAGGTGGAAAGCAATAAGAATTGCAATTGAAGCAGTAGAAGTGGAGACTTAATCAGCAAAAGTTGGGAATATTTCACAAGTGACAACTAAAGATGTAAACAAGTACATTCTCTAATTAATTCATATTAATACATAAATGGGATTCGCTTGGTTGCGAGGAAGATGTTTTTCATCTTTCAGTTGGTGGTATGAGAAAGAAATGGCTATGACAAGAGATCCAGTACAATCAATCAACACAACGGTAGTGTTGATCCCATATCTCCTATTTTTGCTTCCACCCCCCATGTGGCTGTTCCTTGAAAGATCCTTGGATACATATCCCCCACCTTTGTCGTTGATGGATACTGATGCTATCATTTCATGGTTCATGGCTAAAACATCTTGAAACACCTTGGTTTTCTTGGCTCTTGAAAGCCAAGATGGAACTGAAGGTGGTGTCATTTGATCTCATTTGGTATCATCATGTGTTTTTTGTTCGTCGATATGATCGCAATTTTCGCTGGTAAAGGTAGAATCGGCATGGGTTTGTTTGAAAGCTGGGTACCCCCGAAACCCCAACGGATTAAAGCCTCGTTTTCCCCATTCTATATACATGGCCATACATATACGGTAAACCAATGTCAGACACACCCATATTCAGACCGGTGATGCCAAGTATCTTCGTCCAACAAAGGCATCATGTCTGAACGACCAGTGGGCTGCTAAACCCACGATAAGCAGTAGGCGACTCGCGCGCACACGCGTAGCGCCAGATTTCATGGCTTCACGGTTTGGTGACCAACTGGCCTGTATCATTGGCACTATTGGCACTATGTCATTTTTCCAAGATCTGTCATGTCTCTGACCTTCTGTGGGGCACCATGGGTACAATGCAATTGATGGTGAAGGAGACCCAAACTCTGTCCATCTCGGATCAACCACGGTTCAGTCAACCTATGCCATTGGTGGGTTTGACCTGCTGAGCATCACCTCTGGTCATTACAAATTCTCATGTTTTCCTATAAAAACAGCTGCAAATGCGGCGAATTCCCACCCGATGCACGGTACCAGTCGTGGCTGGGTTCATGACCACGGCATATACTATACATGGAACATATTGTTTGTCTAATTTTTTCCACGACTACTATATGGTTGTGAAACTCTTAGTAGCTCCACTATGTAATGTAGAGACTAATTGATAGCCATTGTTCCTTAGCTCCCTCCTAATAACCACTGGAGACAGACCTTTTCTTCCACTCATGGCTGCATCAGTTACCTTCGGCAGCTGACTTCGCCACGGACGTTCCCCGGTCCATTCTGCTCCCCCAGCGAAACGTCGGCTGAGGGATGCAGTTTGGGTCCGAACAGGGATGATCTTAGGAGTCAACATGGCTGACGTTAGATCCCTTGCAGAACAAACTCATGTGGCAACTCACCAATAAATTGGAAAAATATGGGATGATTGTGGTATAATTATGGGATAGTTATGATAAAACAGTCCAGGTAAAGAAACATATTATTACCTACTTGGGGTCATGATACATTGTATATCCCAATACTGGTGGTATATACCCAAGAAACACCGAGTTCAGATGGTTTATTGGTGGAAATTCCTTATTACTAGAACTCAAAAATGAATGAATGAATGAGTGAATGAATGAATGAATTAATGAATGAAATGGAATGCAATGGAATTGAATGTATATAACGCAATGGAATGGAGTGGAATGGACTGGAATCCCTGAATGAAATGACATGACATGAAATGAAATGGAACGGAACGAAATGAAATAAAATAAAATGAAAGGAAGGAAGGAAGGAAGGAAGGGAAGCATATGCCAAAAATGCCAAAAAACAAGTTCTTCGTTTGCCAAGCCAAAATCAATCTAATCAAGTGTAGCCTTTTTGTCAGCGAGGGACCAAAAGTCAGGCTGTTCAATTTTGATCATCCCTGCAGGGGAACAGATTGAAAAGGTGGCCCTTTTTTTGGACCAGTTTTGTCGTATGTACAGTCGACCTTCCGTCTTCGGCCTTTCCAGGGGTTCCAGGGGTCATCAAGGACCCAAAAATGAATGGATCCAATATAAAACCAGGGTTTTTGAGGGGCACTGAGGGTTGTATTAATAGTAGGAGAAGGGATTAGAGACGATTCAAACTCAACATGTTTCCATTCTGTATCATTCAGCTAGACCGCCACTCCGCATTGAAAGCAAGTCGTCCCCCTTTTTCGAGGCCAAAACAACTCCCAGAAAAAATTGCGCAAAATCGCAGCTCTTGATCTTCGAAGTCTTCGATCTTCGGAAAAACTTCCAACCCCAGGTAGGGGGCTGAATGATGTGAAATCGCAGGTTTCCATGCCACCATAGCACTTTCAACCCCCATTAGAGGCACGTCCACCTCGTCCCAACCCCAAGCGCCTCCGTTTCCTCTGTCCCACCGTGGGCGAAGCCCACACGTCAACCATAGGCCCGGATCATGCGCCTGCACGAGTCAGCTTCGACCCAGGAAATAAGCCGACCAAGTAGAACACAGTGTAGCAATCATAAGCAATCCAAAATAAAAGAATGTTGAGAAAGGTAGATCTTAGATCAGCATTTCAATTACCTGACCATATCTCAAGCAAATAGCAATCCTGCAATAGTGTCCGGCCATCAAAATTGTGGGGAATGCATTCTTCTACATTTTGTGGGACCCCTACAAAATCCTGGATGCCAAAGACCCTGAGCTTGCTGAATGAATCTATTTTTCTCCTGTTGCAACAGCAGTTGGACTGGCCATCTGCCAAATTGAAGCCGTCTCGAGGGGCGATATGTGGACTTTCAGTCACCAACAACATCGGAAAAATGTATTGAATCGCTGCATCTTTTTAAATAACACGTTGCAACTGCTGTGCCATCGTTCTGCAATGCTCATAATGCTCTAAAGATCTTTCATGACCATGGGAAACCCTGCCACTAACGCATGACACGGGGTAAACTGACTGTATGCTTTACATAGTTGTAATAAGATATTATGATATGTCAAAATAAAGCAGAATATACTAGTAGACAAGGCTTGACGTGCCTTTTGATCCCTGTGGTTGTCTCCTCCTTGTCCCATGTCGACCCCAACAAAATTGCTACAGTTGCAGCTTGGCTCATGGCTCACGGCCCGGAGACCAAGCATTGCAGCGGCAACGGCGGCAACGGCGCTGTATCGTGTCTCAACATGCTGTGGAATTCTCTGAAATGAATTGGATGTGCCACATGAGGAAAGATGAAAAATATCGCTGGTGACAAAGTGCTACGTTTTGACAACTGTCAACCTCTATATACTTCTGACAGCGCGATTTCTCGATTCCAAAGCTCTGCTGCAGCCATCACAAGCCAACCAAGCAAGACTTTTTGAAAGACTTTAGATGCCGGCTATTCATCCAAAAAGCACAGGCTATCCGAAATGAACGTTCGCCGTTCGTGTGTCTTGAAGTACTCCGGAGTTGGCATGTGGCGGCAATTTCTCTACACCTCGCAGGCCCAAGTGTCCACAAGCCCCAAGCCGCTGGAACCATCGGGGCTCACGGCCCGGATGTTTCAGGAGCGGAACTGGGAGCAGTGTGGGGACATGTTGGGTGCCAGGTTTCAAAGCTGAGGAGTCCGAAAGTGGTCCTCCAAACAACAAATTCCTCATTGGAGCCCCCCAAACTTAGAAACCAGGCAGGCTTCAAAGGGCTTTTGCTCGTATGTATATGTTCTAGAAAGCTTCAACAACACTGAGGACCTCCAGACTTCTCGGCAAAATCTATGGATTTCGAGGCTTGGTAGCTTCAGCAATGCCATCACAAGCAACAAGTGACAACAAGTGTCTAGATCTTCTCCAGATGCTCGGCCATGCCTTGACCAACTGCGCTGACTCTGAAGTTGGTATGTGATGGCACTTGCTAGGCAACTTGCACGGCACCCCATCCCCATGCCACTGGCCATCAGGGCTCACGACCCGGATGTTTCGTCAGCAGTGCGGGGAAAGCTGGGCACTCGCAAGGCTTCGAGCCGAACTGTTTTTCAATGTTTTCAGCCTATCCAAGGCAAAAATCCTTAGAAACTGTCCTCATGGATTCAAATTCTTCCAAGGATGTGTAGGGATCGGCACTCCTAAATTTGTTTTTGATTTGACTTTAGTCTCAGATCTCAAATGGTGTCGAAGCCCCACGACCAAAAATGGCTACCACTCAGGGCTGTTGGGGTAGGATGGCATGCCCACGTCACTGTCGGTTCGGATTCCGCACACAACTTCGAGGAGAGTGCCGAGTTCCTTCAGCTGCAACGGAGTGGAACAGACTCATCAAAAACTGAGCGAGTATCCCAGGACAGCCTTGATTACCTGGACATTTAATGGTGCTCTATGCATGTACATACATTTATAACTATAACTATATTTATAGTTATGTATATATGCATGCATGTGTATATATATATATATATATGTTATATATGTATATGTATATATATATATATATATTGATATTTGGGGTGTTACTGGTTACTGTTACTCCGTATTTTGCAATGTTTCTTTACATCTTTTGTTGTTTATTGTGTCAAACTTGTCTGCATCTTCTTGGGTTATGCCTGGTTAACATTGTTGCTCTGAAATGATGCACCGGCAAATTTAATCGATTGACCCAGGTGTTCTATTGCTTTGAGATGAGTAGGGGCACCAAAAATCAGTAGGTGCTTGCTGCGAAAGACTCTCAAATTTGAAGGTTTCTCCATTGGAAGCATCTATGTCTCGACTCCAACGCCGCATGTCTAGCGTACCAATTTCCGTAGACACATTCACTACTGGTTGTACCCCTTCGTAAGCCAGACCCGCTTCCACACGCAGAGAATACCCCCAAATCCCCAACCAATCAAAGGCTTAGCTTCATCCACTTCCAAATCTTCCTCAGCGACCGTGGACTGTGGCCCGACCTTCTTGATCTTGGGTCGGTTTTTGCACCGCAGATGTTCTCAGGTGTGCGGAGGGCAGACCCGGTCACTCAGGGAATGTTGGCTCGTGAAATCTGGAAAACATGTGGGGGGAGGGGACGTGATTGAAAAAGTCTGATGTTGGACACATTTGCCAGTAGAAAGAGGAATCCATCATCCATCTAGTATGTTTTCCGTCCGTGCGATTGAAGAGCTAGTTGGTCCACCTCCACAACACATTTCTATTTTGCATCTTGCAGCCTGCCGAAATGGAACAGTCAGTCTATCAAATATCACCACCAATCCCACAGGACAGTTCAAAGCCGCCGAGTGACTCTTCAAGGCAGCTGCAATGACGTCCTGGTCTTCTTGTAACGCCAAGATGTGATCATCTTTGTTGAGTTCATAACCTGTAAGGAGTGGGGCAAGGTGGAGCACCAGGATGGTTTGTGAACTTCCAATTTGGAAAATTGATGAAAATTGGACATTGGAATAGTTCCCAATGCTTGTATACCTGACTCCAAACAAGTTGAGTTCTGTCCGACCATCAAATCAAAAGCAACAATGACAGCCAAAGTGAGCCATTTAGGCCTGCCTGGTCCTTCAACTAGCAGAGATAAAGAATATGGGTCGAAATTGAAGACCCCGGCCATCTGATTCTTGTTCTGCTCTAATATTAACCGTCCATTTTGGGGTACCCCACTGATTGTCAAAGTCAAAGAATTTTTGACCTATACCCAAATGTGTTAAGCAGCGGTGCAACCCAAGAGTGCCAGTGAGATCAAGTATCATGTGCTTCCGAGCTACCCTGGTTAGCCAGGGCACGCAACTCTTCCATCTGCTCCTCTGTGACCGGCACGAACAGCGCCTTCACCGGATTCCTCAGTAGGATTTATGTAGTTTGAAGGAGATCACTTTCGGAGCAACTTGGGGATCACTGATGATCGATTTCCTTCAAAAAAAAAAACAATTGTTTGCAAAAGCTTTCGGGAAAAATTGTAAAGGGCTATGCAAACTTCGCAACTGCTTCAGGATGATACAATTGACTGATCCAGAGCCAAGATTCCACTCAGGATTCACTTCGCACCCAGCGTCCAATACACGGGCATGCAAAGTTGCCAAAGGCCCAGTCGCATCCAGAAGCAAGTCGTTGATGTGTGACGAAGTAGCCATGCGAGTCAAGCGAAACCTCGTTTCACCAGGATCATACCAACTTGAAGAATCTATTACGTATGTGGGTGTCAAGTCATAGCATGCTTATGCATGATATATTATGATCGATCTATCTATCTAATCTAATCTAATCTAATCTAATCTAATCTATCTATCTATCTATCTATCTATCTAATCTATCTGTGTGTGTGTGTTAATTCTACATGTGCAAAACTGAAAGGTTCACCCACCAGTTGGTGGTTGTGCATGACCAGCCTAGGCGTATCTACACAGCCAGTAGCCTGAGGCTCTTATCCTCACTCATCCCAGGATGACCCACTTATTGGATTCAGTAACAGTAACCAGGTTAATATCAACGAGCTGCTAAGTAGAATGACGCTCCAAGTAGGAATCAGTCTGAATCATCATGGCAGGAAGGGATGCAGGGATGCATACGTGAGAGTATTTGAGACTGCAGAACCAAGGAACACGCAGACTCCATCCACGTTCAGCGCCGGCACCTGATCCCTGCTGGCTCGCAACGCCGTCATCAACTCATCAGTGGATTTGCCATCGACCTCCATAGGCTCAGGGGCTGATATGGCAGCCGTGGCATCGGAAGCTGAACCAGTGCCTTGGCATGGCTGTGGAAGATCAACAAGACCAATATAGTCTGAGAAACCCATGATGCTTTAAAGTTAAAAGGAAACCCGATGAACGCGATTGATTTCGAAACCACTGTAGCTGGCCACTACACGTCACTACGCAGGGAAGGCAAAAATTGTGTTCAAAAAGAAAGAGCTGACTTTGCGACAGGGGTTGCCAGTTTCGTGCTCGCGCGCTCTCGGACCATTGGATTCATTGATGCCATGCAGCTCCTCCTTCATGTGAGAGTCCGAGTTTGGGGGGGGCAATGTCATCCAACCATGCACAAAGTTCCAAAGATCCAGTTGGCCCACAAACTCCGGAACCTCCGTGGAAAAGGTCAAGATGTCACCCACCAACGCCAACGGAAAGGATCCCAACATCTTCCGCATCACTTGGCACACTGCTACCCCTTTCTGAGCAGCTTCAGACTGCCACGAAGCTCTGAGAGCTGCCTGTGCTGCGGCTACTGTTGCTGACCCACACTCTGGACCTGATGGAAGTCTCTGATGGCAGTAGGCCTGCAATGGATGGTCACAGGAGGCTTCGCTGTGCAAAAAATCCCTGAGAGAAGAGTTGACATGCCCATCCTCCTCCACTCCGGTCTGCTGCAGACCAAGGCGAACACATGCAACAGCACAATCTTGCTGTCCATAAAGGATGGCAAGTCCAAGCAAGCTAAAGGAAACAATTCTAAAGGAAACAATTTGCCGGGAGCCACCAAAAAAATTAATCGTTCTCAACTTCCTGATGTCGATCCCTGCCTTGGGAGCACCTTGGATTCTGTCCACAGAAAGCTGGCGCCCATCAAAAAAGAAACCACCCAGATCATTGTTTGTCGATGTGGGGCCCCACTCGCCCCTCACCGCCGGTTTGAAGAATTGCGCGCAATACTCCCAATCCTCGTTCCTGCAAAGAAATATACCTGCTTGAAGTGGAATGGTCTGACTTTGAATGAGCACATGCATGCTTTGAAAGTCTGCGCCAGCCCAGAGCGCCGCAAGCAAAATGTGCTCGCCCTCGCCATCATCGTAATCGTAATTCACAAAATCTTTTCCATTCCATCGGCGCAAAGGCCAAACCTGGCATTTCTTCGATATATGCGCAGCTACTTCCTGACGTGGTCAATCTCTTTTGCATGATGGTTTCGGTAACTCCCTTCAATATAGCGATTGGGAGGTAAATAATTATAGTAAATGAAGAAAATGAACATGCCACTGGGCGTCGACATCCCCAGTGAGGATGGCAATGTCCAACAACCGCGCCATCCCCTCAGCTGGCAGAGCCAAGGGCAGCTCCTTACCTGCACGCGCCATCTTCAGAAGCTCGCAGAGAAACGGCTTCTGCGCAGCCTGTGCTGCCGCCCGAACTGCACAGTCGAGAGGCACATCCCAGTCTTTCATCCATGTGCCGTTCTCAACCGGCCAGCCCCAGCTGCAATATTCACAGGTTTCATTCGGTGAACAGTTGCAAGGTGTGTCATAGTAGTCGCAATTGGCGCAAACAAAATCTGAACATGTGCACTGAGGCTTTTCGGAATATGGTCCCAGGTGATTGGTCAGAACAAAGCAGCCATCAACTCCATGTCGGCCCAACGCCAATGCAGTGTCATCATGGCCAAACCACAAGCAGAGGTCGAAAATGTGTATCAGACCCCATTGTGATGGCACCAATTCGCTCAATTGCTCCTGGCCCAAGGTTGCTGCAAGACAAACTGACACAAAGTTCCAGAACTATGACCTGTTCAAAAAACAAAAAAAGACTGCCAATGTACCTTTCCAAACCGATCCTTACATTTTGTGCCACAAAACAATCCCTTCAGCGATCAGCAATGCCCAATAAACCAAGCAACTCACTGTGACCCAACCGCGGAAGGACAAAACATCCCCAGTCTCCTTGTGTCCTTCGAGCAGCGCCTTGGCCACGAAAAATTCCCTCACGCCAGTCACTGTCGGACCATCTGACTCGTCCTGGGCTGTCAACTTAGTCAGAGGGATTTTACAGCCTACTTTGAGCAATCACTCGTAAAATATGTGAAATAAGTGGATTTCAACACTGAAGGTTTCAATTCTCAACAGGTTCACCTTCACACATCTCCGATCATTAAGAATTCCACCCATGAACCGAAACAAAATCCCAGGTCGGCCCCGCACCTCAGCGTAGATCACCAGGTCTTTGACATCCAACGACTCCATGGCCGCGGAAAGGCTTGGAGCTCTGTAGCTCAGCCACGGAACAAGTTGCCATGATCATCATCCCTACTGGCCCAGCCACATCTCCGACATTTCATTCCTCGCCAAATTACAACAACTTTGGCCCCAAAGAATGGAGACATCAACAATTCATATCAGTCACATCTCCAAAGACAATAAATGTCCATGAAATATCAACAATCAAATGGTTCACATCTCCAAAGACCTGGCCCCAGCATTGAGAGAAGTCCAGTCCTGGTGGCCTTCGCTGCTGCTGCCTGCGCGCAGCCGCCACCTGCTGACCTTCGGCGTCACCGAAGTCGTGCTGCAGAAGTGCACCAGTCCCCAATGGAATACCTGGGGTTAACTACTAAACATACTAATTAATTATAGTATGACAGGACATGTTTGACGGTCACCACGAAGAAACAAAAATTTAACATGGTTTAACCATAAATGTTGGTGATCTAGACCACACACTGGTGCTTTCACCGTTTCACCAACATCAAAATTTGGGTACAGGGATGGTACAGGATCTACTTCATTTCAATCCTCGCCGCGCCATGTACCAGAAACCCACAATTCATGAGTTTCACCACTGCATCTTTAGTGGAAGAGGAACTGTGATCCAGTTCGCATCCGATCACCTGGATCACCATTCCATATATAATATCCCCATGATATAACTGGCATGCACACCATGCAATTCGCATTGTATCCCCATAGAATGGTTGATTGACTATATCCGCCAAATATATCCCCATCAATTACATCCAATGATTATTCTATCTATTAACCCATCTGAGTTATAGGTGCATTAAGTATACAGTAGTTGGTTTATAAACCACATGGACCATAGACCCATGAAATCCCCACATAAACCCATTGTTTATAAACCACATAAACCCATTATAAACCACATTGTATCCTCCCATAAACCCCCCTGAATCAAGTTATCTGCCTATGGACTCCGACACCCCTGGGTCAGCCAACGATGATCCACCGGCGGCGCTTTCCGAGGCTTCGGACTCCTCGAGCTGCTCGCTGCGAGCGCTCGGGGGATCGGTGAATGACCGGGGTGAAAACACGGCTGAGCTATCTATCTATCTATCTATCTATCTATCTATCTATCTATCTATCTATCTATATATACACATATTTTATTGTATATCATAAATAAATATAGGAAAAAGTCATCCTTGTCTTCGTGTGAATCTCCCGAAAATCCAGAAACAAAAAGGTCAAGTAGATTGAGACTTAGAGTAAACAAATCCTCCAAGTTTCAAAATTCCGGGTCGACTGTTGGCATTTTGCTCGGGACTGAAAAGGTCTTCTTCTGCTGGTGGATTTGGTTTAATAATTCTCTATTCACTTAAAACCCTTGAGCCGCAACGATTGGGTAGATTACTTGGGGTTGTGCGGGGTACCCAAAGCTTAATGTGATAAATCCAACTTGGCGACTGGGATGATCTTCCTGTGCAACATTAGGGGGAAAGAGGTTATTACACAAAACCATAGATTTTCCAATTTTTTATATGGGATTTTCTTGTAAATTTTCCCTTAAGCCAACCCATTGCTATACATCTGTACGAGTGAAAGTGACCTGTGAACCACAAAACACGCCTGGACACCGGCAGGGTCTCATCCAACTCGGACAACTCTTTCAGGGCTTCCATGGTGTCGTTCAGCCTGAAACTTCGAGAAGAACGGGATATGATATACAGTTACAGTAAGTAGCAACCAAAATTGGGACTTGTTTGCAGCCAAAACTACGGGATTTTTGACGCCAAACAAGTGGGAATACGGTTGTCATATTTCATGCATTTTTCTCCATATTTCAAAAAGGGAGACGGATCGAATTGTTTGAACTGCCAAAATGGTTGTGAACGAATCTTTCTCATGTAGTGAAGAGGCTCGCGCAGAATACCCCCGTGCCATCGGGAACCCCAAAAATCTTCAGCTCACCTCATGTGTCCATTTCCAATCATTGGTTTGCCCAAAAGTGAAACCCCAAAATTGTTATCTATGAATTAGGAAAATGACGCAAAATCATGATTACCCACTGGATTTTGGTGTTTTCTCATAATTTTGGGACAAGCCCAAGTAAGCTTCGATAGTTTGCAAATGGGCACTGTGGTAACCCATGGGATGCCAGTCATAGGGGTTGATGATGCAGCTCCCAACAAGTGTGCAAAATATTACATTACCTCAAGAATGGCAAGTGGTTAACATCACCCATCAATATGACCACTTATTACCTCGAAACTACTGTGTCAAAAGCTGGTTGCACAGCCGATAGATAATCCACATAGAATCCATCGATAATCTATAGATAACCTCCGTCACATAGAACCCATGATAGATAGCCCATAGCAACTACATCCCTTTGCCCATAACTGGTTGATATTCCATGTATATATATATATACATATATAACACTACCTTATTCATCCTGGTTTGATATGGTCCCATCAAAAGCCATGCAACAACAGGTCCCGCATCTCCCATCCCTCCAGGGATTTCCCATCCCTTTCCGCCTCTGCGACCGCAGCAGGCCGCTCACATCCGCCGTGACGTCCGCCAGGTCGTCCTCGTCCTGGTCGAGATCGTCGGAAGCGTCTTCCAGGTCCTCGTCGAAGAGATTCTCCTGGCGATGCCAATGGCCAAGATAAATTCACCATGTATATTCCATGATATCCCATCATATCTATATCTATATCTGTATCTATATATATATATATCTTCTACACTTTCTGTGTGTGTATTGTATATCCTGGGTGAAACAAATGGCCATTGCACCCCGCCTGGTCGCTCTCGGTACGGCTCCAGCGAAAATCGAGACCGCTCTCGTTGCTGTAACTTGGCTGAGAGCTACCTTGGTGATGCCACGATGCGGCTGTCAAAGGAAGTACCATCTGGTTATGACTAACATAGCCATGGGAAATCCCAACCATAAATGGAGGTTTATAGCTGGGAAAATCATCTATAAATGGGCCATTTTCCATGGCTATGTTAAATAACCAGAGGGTAACCCATAATGTTCTCCTTTAAGTGATGTTTAGGGGTTGTAACATGTTGGAACCAGTGTTTCGCTGTTCGTCTCGTTTCTCACTATTAGCTGCTTTCGTAATTCAAGACTTCAGCAAAAGACATTGAGGGTACAACCGCATACGATGTAACCAACTTCACCAACAACGCTTTGGATACAACCATCAATGTGAGGAGTTAATCAATAAGAATGGGTTGGGATTGAACAAACTACAAATGAGAGTATAAGCCCACCATTGCCAGATTTGCTTCACCATCTTGGAATCAGCAAAAAAAGTGTTTGAAACACAAAATGATCATAAACTATAGATGTGTTTCCCAAATTATCCCAATTGCAGCCTAACTTATCCCAAATTCTGTCGCGGCCAGTAATTCACCCGGCAATCAGCCGCCACCTTCAAATGTCATGGCGTAGCTCTCCTGGCTGCTATAGGCAACCTGCAGGATGATGTCCGAATTTTGGTAGGACTTTACTGTTCGAGTCTGTTTTGGGGGGGCTTACTGTGGTTCAGACACATATCGATCTGATCCGTCTCCTCAATCCCTTTGGATGACTTACTGGTGCTTAGTAGGGAATGAGGGAATGATCCATAATCACTAGTAATCATCATCCCATACCCCCATTCCCATCCATTCCCTACTAAGCACCAGTAAGTTGTATACAAATCTCAATCTGCGAATGGGATATTGTCCATTCGAAGATGGATGTTTTCACCAACTTGGGATACAACCCTGCCTGAATATGAGTTCGTACACTCAATGACCTTCAAAAAAATGTTTGGTTTCGGAAACCCCAAAAATTGATTAAAATGGTTGTTTCGCCAAAATTACAGTACAGCCCTGTATTTCCATGAAACATTCATAGTTTCCAGTTGTTCCCAAAAAAATCCACCCCAACGACGCCTCCAAATGTTGGATCTCCTCCTCGCCTTCCTCGCCTTCCTCGCCTTCCTGATGCTCGCCATCCTGGCCTCTGGGACATCAATTGGTCTGGTTATTTAACAGTTGGCGAACTGGAAGCCATGGCCCATTTAGTTCGATAACTGATGATGATTTACCTCTTAAACATTCCATGAATCCAAACTATTTATGATGATTTATCATGTATCCATCAAAATGGTGTAACTCCAACGAAACTAGGCAATTTCACCACCTAAAAAGCAACAATAACAAGGCCTTGACCACCTAAGGCCTTCCTGGTGAAACCATCATGAGTTGGGATGACTTTGCAAGAAGGTCCAGGGCCTTGTTTTTCAACAAAGGTGGCGTAGGAATGGAAGGAGCTCGTTGAAGCTGACTTCAGTGCACCTTCGTTGCAACTGGTGAACGGTGATTTCACTGGCAGAAAACCTCACAGAAAAACCCAAGAACCACTGTACGGATCGAAGCCACGTGAATCATGACGGTGACTCCTGAATTTCAAGTCTTCATGATGTCCCTATCCAAAAAATCTGCCTGCGGCCGCAATGTTGATCCTGAAGTCTGGCTTAAAATATGGTTTGAATCATCCAAACTCGCCAACCGTTGCGCAAGGCACTCTGCTGTGCTTCCACGGGTGGCACCGGCACATCCTCCTGAAACTGGATGAATGGGGGATCCACTGTTTTCCAGTGGTGATTTACCCTCTGGTTATGTCAAAATAGCCATGGACAATCATCATTTTGAACAGGTAAACCATCTATAAATGGGCCATTTTCCATGGGAAAATCACCATGTTTAATGGGAAAATTCAACTATAAATCATCAATTTTTCCATAGCTATGTTAGTTTACCAGAGGGTACAATGTCAGTGGTTGATTTTTTAGGGAGAATATTGGAAATTCCGCCACCTGTTGATGGCGTTTCAAACCTTAGAAGAAAAAAAACAAAGAGCTGGATCAAAGATCAAAGAGACCCATCAAATTCAATGAAAATCGTCAGGAAATCAACAAGAAGTATATGATATCACCGCGCAACTACCCAAAAAAAAAACATTCAATTTCATCAAAAATCCATAGAAACTCATCCAAAATCTCCAGGAAATCATCCAAAAATCTGCAGAAAATCCCCCAAAACTCGGGTCCTTGGCTTCCTCACGTCGCGCCAAAGCCCTCTGTGGCAGCACCACGCTGCGACGGGTCCTGGGAGCATCAATGATTGAATCGGTTGAGTTGTGATTGTTCGACAGTTAGACACCAATTTTACAATGTTTGGAATAGTGATTCTTAAAGACGTACCATCAATCGATTTTCTCAGAAAAGTGGATTTGAGCATGCAGGAAATGTACATCCCATTTAAAATTTAGCTAGCGGTGATCTTTAGCCAGCTCCAGAACCATCCAAGCAGGCGATTCATCGGCTCATTAAGGTCAGTTAAGGTGCTGCCAAGTGCTGCTTGCACTGGGGAATCAGCGTGCTTCTGCAAAAGGGGATCATGAGCACCAACACGTTAAGGGTTGCTTGACAAGACAAGTGATTCTCCTGCGATCTGTGTTCTAGGCTGGCGTAATTTGCGTCCTTGATCAGTCTATTTATGCATGTTTTCTATTTGGGGGTTTCCATAAATGGGGGTACCCTCAAATCATCCATTTCAATAGGATTTTCCATGAAATAAACCATCCAGCTATTAGGTACCCCTATCACTATGGAAACCTCCATTTGTTTAAAGCACCTTTTGTTCGAGGGTTTGACCCGTCAAGCATCAACCGTCCAAAATGGGGCTCAAAAACAGGTCCCAGGTAGTCGAAGACTTGGGGGCCAGGTTTTTCTATAGATTCAATATCCACGATACAAGTTCATCAAAAAAAAAATATCCGTCTTATGAACATTGAATACCCACATGAGAATGACGGCCGCAATGAGGAAAATTATTTTTGTATTGCTAGGAAAAACTATGCATCATGATGACCACTCCGATACCCCGCGGTCATTAAATCCAAGCTCTCCAATGACAATCATATGGGTGTGTCTGAAAATAGGGAACCCTAAATTCCAATGGTTTATCATAATATTTCCATATATTTCCTATGGAAAATTTTGCAGGTATGCCCCATTTTAAGATACACCCATATCAAGTATGCAGAACAAAACTGGTGATCTGGAGACAGTGAAAGTTGTTTTTCCCCATTAAAACTGGGATGTTCCAGCTAGCCAAACAAAACTACCGGAAGTGTTCACAATTTTTCTGGGATTCATCCACTCACTGGCATGTGGCACCCTAACCGTTCCAGTTTCCAGGTTCCCTGTAGTCCTTTCTGGCACTGTGGCCAAAATGGGAGACAGCACCTGCGGACTGTCGTCCCTTTAAACTGGTTGAGAACGGAATTCCGTTCATGGAGATATTGATGAGCCCCAAATAATATTGGTTTATATAACCCCTTACAAATCATCAGCCAACCAGGTTTTTGAACACTGCTCAAGTGATCAATATTCCCCAAAGCCTTGCGGGATGTACGAACATTCACTTGTCACCACCTGACCAACAGCAATGGCTAGACATCCCTAGTTTCTTCGATTACATTCCGGTTGGTCCACATCATTCCAAACTAAATCACGTATGCCTGATGTTTTTTAGGCAAACATCCCGAAATATACGTATATGTATATATATATATATACGTGCATTTGTAAATATATGTATATATATATATACATATTATCCATTTATTTATATATGTGTTTGTTTTTCATTTATTTATCTATTTATTTATTTTCTATTTGAATATATATATATATATATAAGTTTATATTATATACATACATATATATATATATATACATATAAATATGTTCAGCGCCCCCCCAGAATGTGAATGACATTGGTTTGTGAGGTGTGTGTTTGAACACCTGCAATGAAACTTTCACTAAAACAAGCTGAAATGACATTGCTGTGCTGATCCGCAACATGTCACATTGTGTCACATGACACGCAAACTCCGTCACTCGACTGGTAATCAACTGGGTCTCTGACTTCGTGAAGGCGTAAAGCCCCACGGCAATGATACATGTAAATGTTGCTCACTTGAGCCCTTGAAGAAAATATGGTCAAAGATTTGTTGCTCATTTGAGCAATATGACAATTTGTTCTCCAACCATGTTATGTGACATGAATATGAAATGCTGATTTCCATTAGATGGGGATCTGGGGGGTATGGAGGAGTTGTTGTTTGGTGACACGGTTGAATTCTGGGAACTAGATTCGTCTAGGTATTGGGAACTTGATGTGACTCCACCGTCAGTTGAACCTCTCCAGCAAATGGAAAATCCCGAAGAAATTGTCATGATGGCAACAGATATGCGGAAGAAAAGGGTTGAAGTAAGTTTGAAGGAGCTTGGTGAGGAGGATCAACTGCGATTTGCGGCGGCAAAGGACAAATAGGGCAAAGCATGGCTTCATCACCGAACTGTACAGAAAGTGGCCAAAGGCCGCGTCCCCGATCATGCTGTGATGAGATGTAGGTGGCTTTTAACCTGGAAAGGGGCAAATGGGGATGAGCCTCCTGGTGAGCTGGCATTAAATGGAAAGAAGGCTAAGGCCAGGTTGGTTGTGATCGGTTTTGAGGACCCGGATTTGAGCACGATTTCAAATGACAGTCCAACCTTAACCAAGGATGGCAGGCAAGTTGTGTTACAACAAGTCAGCAGCCATCAGTGGCCCCTCATCTCTTTTGACATCAGCACCGCATTTCTGCACGGAAAAGGGGATGGCAGAAATTTGGGTATACACCCACCACCAGACATTCGAGAACATTAGGCATGTCTTCCTCAGACCAATGTGCATTAAATGGAGGTGCATATGGAAGGATAGACGCACCCTATCTCTGGTATTGTGAGTTCAGGGATGAGCTTTTGAGTCAGGGTTGTCGACAGTGTCCTTTGGATCCTTGTGTTTTCACTTCTGGCAAGACTACTGAGGAAGGGAAGTACGTGCCTCTAGGATGCTTAGGAGTTCATGTTGACGACGGCATCGGCCGGGGAACCCCTGAATTCATGGACATGCTCAAGAGGCCCCGTTACCATCTACCTCAAAACCAGTAATCTCGCGCTCGGGTTCAGCGCATGATGGAGAATATCCCGAATCTGGAAGTGTTTCACCAGATTCCCGATCATGTTCCTCTGCATTTGGTGACTCTGGGGGAAATTCTTCTGACTCCAAGTCAAAGAAATCGTGCGCATGGATCCTTTGAATCCACGTCTTGACCGGCAGCATGGCCTCTTCCGAGTCTTTTACTTGTTTCTATTCTCTCAAGGACGCCGATCTCAATTGCTCAGGGCTTGCCCTCACTAGTTGATTAGCATGAACCAACCACACAACGTTTCTACTTTCAACCCGAATGACTCGGGCTGGCCCATACCACCTGCCTCGCTCACGTCTCAGATTGCCGCCCTTGCGACGCCAGTATAGCACCCAGTCGCCTTCCTCAAACTGGTCACGAATTGGCCGAGTTCGTCTCAGCAAAGCACGTCTCAAGCTGCTGCAGTTGTCCGCTTCGATGAAGGCCTGTCTCGCCAAGCATCGTCTCTGCAGAGACATCCTAAACTGATCCGTTTCAGATGATCCATCCTCAGCTAAGACATGACTACTTTGAGACGCATCGGCAGTTATGGAAGCTGGCAAACGCCTGGAAACCCCAAGAACAGCCTGTTCCGGTGTATACCCCTTTACCCTCGATAACGTGTTCTTTGCACAAACAGCCTGAATAAGATGTTCCCTAAAAGCTTCAGGGGAGTCAATTGGGATTTCATGATCCATGCGATGCAGCATACGTTTGATGATTGACCCATGGACTTCTGTCCGTCCCAGCTGCCAATGGCTGTCCCGGGCTGTCACTCTTGGTTTGATCCCATTTTCCTGAAGTTTCCTCAAAAACTCTTCGGATACATATTCGGTAGCTGGGTCAAAGTACATTTCCCCTGGTGGACCAGCCCAGCTCAACCACGACATCTCAAACGCCGCAAACTGAGCTGCAGAGGTTTCACTGCATGGACGTGCTTGATGGAACAGTGTTCCTTCATCCAAAAAATGCACAAAGGGATACTTGACACCATTTTTCCCTGTCCAATAGGCTACATCCATCCCCACTACTTCATTAAAACCAATGTTCTCATGAATCGATGAGGGCCTGGTTGATTGAAAACCCCTTTGTGATTCCAAACAAGCATCACACTGGAAGTCCATGGCACCAAAAACAATTTGGGGCTGGCATGTGTGTTTTGAAGAAACCGAGCAAAGCGCGCAGGATCTGGATGTCCCATCTTGTGATGTACACTTTGGATCCAGGCTTGATCCTCCTTTCCCAAACCGAAAATCCCGGACCATGTTTGGGAACACTCTTTGCGGGGTATCCTCGTTCCATTTCTTTCGGTTCCTCGAGATTTGGCGGTTCTTTTGACACGCCCTCATGCCCGGCATCCTGCTGACTGAACTGCTGCATTTCCTTTTTGCAAAATCGTGGACACTCGACTCCGAAGACTCTGCCATCCCATCACCCTCTGCCAGGTTCTTCCCCAGGGGACCTTCTTTTGGGGGCCCATGTTGTGGATCCATTCCAAAAACCGTTATCCTCGGGTTGCCCCAGGACTTCGACATCTCCTGATTCCCGGTTGAGGATGATCGTCAGACGATACTTGAAATTTGTGGAGTCTATCCCATTCTTTGGTAATCGAAATCTTTCAGTACCCCGGCAAATTTCCACATGTGCGACCTGGAATTCAGCAACAAGTTGCGAGACCCTCCTAAAAATATCACCCCCTGACTCACAAACAACACTTCCAACCCTAGGGGCCTGCCTGTGAGCAAGCTTGAACACTTCCTTCCAAGTCATTGCTGGCCCATACCAGGGACCTGACGGAACATGGGAAAGACTTTCATCTTCCCCGGGTCTTGGACCCTGTTTGTATGAATACTTGCGCCGCTTGACAATTTCACCAGCCCATTCATGCTGCTCTTCCGATTCTACTCCAAAACATGGAACACACAGCTCGTCAAAAACAACAGGGAGTTCACCAACCGACTTGCTCAACATCAAACCATAACTAACATTTTTCGAAAACCCTTTGGAGTATTTGGCAGAAAAGGCAGACAAGTTCTGCCACCTTCCGGAAATTTTGGCTTGTCCCAAGATGGGATCATGCTGGTGATTTTGCCTGCAATATCGCGCATCCAGCATCGAGTGAAACTCCTTTGAGGTCGTGAGCACCACTGTTCTTTTTCGCAGATAGTTATTTCCTTTGGGAATCCTCAATTCACCTACTTCACACATGTCAAAAACGGTACGGTAGGTCCCAGAAACAACATCATCCAACTCTTTTTGAACCAACGCTTCAGAACCCTGAGGTTGTTCCAAATGAAAATGTCGACCCAAAGATACTTGATGCCAATATAAAGCTCACAACAAAGTGTTAAAAGGAACTCGCTCATGATCCCTACCTGCTTGTATGTTGGCTGCTGTAGCTGGACTTCTTCCACTGTTCCAACGACTGAAGTTGCCCCAAAATCGGCATTCAGGCGCTACCCAAATGTTTCGTGGTTGCTCATCCTCAATCATTTGCCACAGCTTCTCTCGACCAGATGCGGTGCTGAGCTCGCCATCCTCCTTGGTAAATCTCTTGGCCTTCAAACCCATGTTGTTGAGGACATTGGTTGAGTTTGAATCAGGTTCACAATAGATTTCCAAGAGATCCAACCTGCAGGGCCTTTTCTCAGCTCGTAGTGTCTGACGTGTTCGAACTGCATCAGATGTGTGGGACACCAGTTTGGCCACCTCCTGCTCGAGCTTTGTGGATATTTTCTCCAAATGACAAATGACTTCATGAGTCATTGAACTAACTTGAGACTTGTTCGACGAACCCTCAAGCATGGAGTCTTTGTGTCCACACCCCACCTGATCCACCTTTGAATTTGTCGCTGAATCTCTCACTGCTTGGTGTTCTTGGTGACCCTGGCCAGCTGGTCTTGTAGTAGAGCGATCTGGAGACGAAGCTGACTCACCTGACCTCCGCATTCATATTCTCCTCGGATCCCATCGACATCTGTCGCTTGCCTGCCTGTGCGGCAGCCTTTGGTTTGGCCCCCAAAGGGTGGACCGGAATCTGGTTGCCCTCCTCCTCCACAAACATCAACTCGTCCTCTTCCTCGGGACTGCAGTCCTTCACCTCCATCTTCTTCGGACGGGCCACTGGTTTTGGAGCAGCTCCGACGGTCACATTGTTGACCCCCACCTGGCTCTGATCCCAGGCCTTAATGACAAAGTTCTGAAAAGACAGAGCCCAATCGCTGGCCAGCTTGAAGGTCTTGTTCTTGTGCTTTCCCTCGGCCATGGTCATCGAACCCCATTGCCTCAGGCTGTGTACTCCAGGCGGCCTGCGAATGTCCTCTTCGATCTTCACCGTCATATACGTCATCTCCGGATCCTCCGGGAATGGAAGAGGTTGATCCAAGGTCGCCATGAGACACCACCGAAGTCAAAGCTGATGATCGCTGCACACACTCTCGAAAAGGGCGTTGAGCCACTTTGGCTATGAACCTCGTATTCTCGGACTGCTGCAGCTGTGTTGTTTCTGTTGTGACATTAGTGACTACTTCCAAATTCTGACAAGTGTGCTCACGATTAAATGCGCTGATCACTTCCGCCAGTTGTACAACAAACAGTCCCTTACTATTGCTTTTTAAGGGAACCACACTGCCTAGTTGATTCAGGCGGAGAAGTGATTTTCTGGTGCAAACATCGGCATCGATCGCACGGAGAAATGAATTGGACAACGGAAAAGGAGTGTCACCCTTCAACCACCTCGATCCTCATCCACCTACGTCCAAATGGCAGATACAGCGCACCAACACTCGGAAGAATTGCATTGTTCCCAAACCGAAAAACTGTTTCCGATTTCTTCCAGTTCATTTTCTTTTGAACCTCAATCGGCATGCTTTGAATCAGCGGTTTCACCTTTTTCTGACCGATCACTGTTTGCTGGCACCTGTATCTATGATTCCAGGGCACTCAAACTTGCTAGGAAAATTCTCAACCCGATCACCATCAACTTTCCTGGACATGGCCCCCATCAAAGCACGTCCCAAACAGTGACCATTGACTTTTTGTCGTGTCATGGTGCAAACAAAAGCTGATTCAATGAATTCTTCGTTAACTTCAGAATTGAAAACAATTCCCAAGGGTGAGCATGTGATGCTTTCCCGGTCCTGGCTGTGCATGTTCAGGAACAAGTCGGCAATGGTCTCGGATCCTTGCACTCCATCGGGAAGCGTGTCGACGATCTCCATGTCATTCGATGAGAACATCACATCCTCGGCGACGTTCACCTCCTCCTTGTTTCCACTGGCATCCTTTCCCGGGCCTTCCCATTTCCAGTGCCCTCGTTGTCCGCAACGCCTGCAATTTGAGGCTGCTATGCGTTCAGCAAGAGAATCCTTCCTTCGGAAGCCCTTGCCCCCATCATAACGACCTCCTTTTCGGCCTCCTTTTCCATGACCTTTCGGCCCAGTCGACGGCCAGAAGCCTCGATGTCGCAGACGATCTCTGATTTTTGCCCTCGCCTCTGCATAGGCACTGTAGCAAGTTGCTAGATCTTGATTTTCCTGACAAACTTCAATCAACTGATCCTCAAAATCTCGGATCATTTGTGCCTCTTTGTCACCCTGCTCAGCCAGGTAGACAATGGCCAACTCCTCATCCATAGGCTCGGCCTCCATGGCCGCATTCATCTCCTCCGCCTCGTCTTCAACAAAGTTGACCGGATAGACTCGTTTCTTGCCATCCGATTGTCCAACCAAAACCTTTGTTGAGAGTTGTCTCATTGCCCTCTCCACCTTGCCAGGTTCCAGCGGACTACCCACCATGGTCAACACCCGCTTTTTGTCCTCGGTTGAAAGGGAGGCCTGTCTGAGCATTATGAAGGCCGGATGTCCTGCACTAAAGTTTCACCCAGCTCATGGAAAGAAACGCTCATCCTGTTAACAAAGCTCTGCGTTGTCTCATCAGACCGCTGGGTTGTACGGTAGAGAGCCTTTTCGCATTTGTCATACAGTTGCATCTCTTCTGCCTCCTCCCATGTTGAGATGGCTTGCAACAGCACAGTCACTCCGTTTTCTCCATCAGTCAATTTTTCAGTACTCAAAGCCCTAACTTGTGCCCACGCTGTGCCCTTCATGAGCATGGCAAGTCTCGGCGCCAGCATCGGCTTGTCCTTCTTCGGGCAGATGCTGTGCAAGAATTTGATTTTATCTCTGTATTCTTTGGGATCATCAGTTTGCGGATCAAAACTCGGTAAGATCGACCACAAATAGCTTTTGTCACCATCACCAGAGGATGACCCTGATGCACCACCCGACATTGCAGCTGCGAGTGGACACGCCCCGTGTCCGGAAAAAGAAGACTTTGTCACCTATGAAAAAGAAAAATGTTTTGTTGGGAGGCCCTGTCTGACCCAAGTTGAATGAAGCCTTGCCAGCCTGCCACTGACCTAGTGAAAATTTTGGGAGCCTAGTACCCCTTAAATACCCCTAAAGATGGCCTATTATGCGTGAGCCAGGGGTCGGCTCCGCTACCAATGCGTAAGTCAGTCCCTCTGACCTAAAGACTTTTCCACCTGCCGCTTGCCAGTTGACTCCTCATCCCAGCCCACCCTTGTGCATGGAGTACTTGGTCAAATGGCCTCAGCGAGCACCTCTCTGGCATGTAGTGCCCTGACCAATGCCAATATATGAGCAGGTGCAGAATGTTCGGAGTGAATGCCTCCTTTGGCATCATCTTCTCCACCCTTGTGAGGGTAGCTGTCAGGCTTGCAGGGCGCGTCTGCATTTGTTATGCCTGTTGTTCCACTCTACCTGCCGGTGAAGAGCCTCGGTGATCAGAGATGACAGCATGATCGGCAGGACCTACAAGGTTCAATGGATGCAGGTTTTGGGAAAATCTGATGCTGCAGGACGGCATGACCAGGGAAAACTAGGGAGTTTCAGAATATACATATATGTATATATGGATTTATATATATATATATATGTACGTACGTATACATGACATCTCCCAGAGACATCCCCGGTCACCCCCACCTTCTTAGGCCAGGCTTCCAGGGGAATGGGGGCAGGGCAACTCAGCTTCCGACCTGTGGAGATCACTACCCTCTTGGTATTGGGAAAATGCTGGTAAACCATAGGAAAACCACAGGAAAATGGTGATTGAACCACTTGGAAAATGGTGATTGAAATGGCTTACTATTGAAAAATCGTGAATTTCATGGGATGATATGGTAAACTACCCTCTGGTTATTTGACATAGCCATGGAAAATCCCTTATAAATGGAGGTTTTGATGGGAAAATCATCTATAAATGGACCATTTTCCATGGCTATGTTAAATAGCCAGATGGTAAATGTAACATGGGTATGTCTGAAAATGCTTCGTATACCCATGAATGCCATGGCCAAAAATTGGGAGAATGCTGAAAAAATACCAAATGGATTTAGAGGTTTTTCCCTCAAATGTTCAGACAAAGCGACATGGAAATCTGGAAAATAACCCTATCCAAGTTCGAAAAAAAAAATCATCGTTCAGACTCCATATCAGATTTAGGGAGGCGGTTGGAATTTGTATGGACCTTCTGTATGGTTCATGGGGATTCCGATTTCATTCCCCAGTATTTAAAGGTTACAACCCAAAAAACAAACATGTCAACCGTGTCAACCAACTCCAGGGTCAGTTGAAACTGCTGAATCCAATTCTCCAATTCCTCCCCTGTTCACGCTCAATTCTCCCATATGAGCCCTCTGCACTTAAATCCTACCCTCTGGTAAACATACAAAAAACGATGGAAAATCACCATGTTTAATGGGAAAATCAACTATAAATGGTCATTTTCAATAGCAAACTGTTAGTTTACCAGAGGGTATATCAAACCATGCCTTTTGAACGCATTTCTCGCGCACCTGCAGCATTCCAATCGCCAAAGAGACGGCTCCTTCAAAGAGACGTGGCTTAGAGGATGATACCGAGATGGAATGGACATATAACCGCTATGGGAGGAATGGGAATATGGACTGAATGGAAATACCATGGGTTTTATGGAAATCATTGGTTCAAAAGATAGTAGTTTATAATTAATGGCATCATTGCTTTAGCATCCCAGGATTGCCATTACTGTAATTTTCTTTGTTTGGTATAGTGAAGTTGGTTTATAAGTTATAAGTAGATTTACTCGGGTTTATGATATATCGATAGTCAAGTGAGTTTATAAACGAATCTATAAACGGGGGGGGCACCAAAAATGTCATTTGCCAAATCCTACGCGATCATCCATCTCTCAGTATGACCCTCCATATTGCAAACCCATTATAACTAACCCATCCAAATATCACCCAAGTTATGTGTTGGGGCCAATTGTAATGAGTTCAATGATTTATCCACGTCTATGATTTTGTATGAATCTAGCATTTCTCAGTATGTCCACCCGTTGTAATCAATGAATTCATGACCAAATCTAAATGTGCCATGGTCAAAAATGTATAAAAAGATATGGGATGGTCATCCCACCAGCAGTACCAATTCCTCACAATGGGTCTAGTAATCCCTCTTAGATATTCGGGGATCAGCATCCCCAAATTTATTGGGAAATAAGCAACTTGACCATCGCCCACATGATGATATATCTGTATGGATCTTACAGAACCAACTTATCCCTTCCCTCCAATATTAGCTGATTGGTTTAGTTGATGAATCTTTGTATCGTCTATATCTATCTGATATTTTCCGGGCGTTCAATCTATAATAATCTATACTAGACATGAAGTTAGAACTATTCTAACTATTCTAAACATCATTCTCCATGTTCTATACTAGTTGACATATCTATACCATCCAACATTCACCAAACACGACCTCAAACGGTATCCAAACGTTGGGCCGCTCCTCGCTTCCGCTTTGCTGAGCACGGGTTCAGACTTCACCCGAGGAAGCGGCGCGACAACGACCTGCTGCGCAGGAACGCGCGATGGGAGGTCGCGAAATCATGTGTCCTGATAATGATGATTGTCTGGTGTTGTCATTATTCTGTTTATCATAACTATACATAACTATGATGATTCTGATGAGCGTCTTATCATGATCATGATTTTAATGATCTCAGTGATACTGATACTTGAAGATGAAAGACTCCAGAATTCAAAGAAGCTTCGGAAACCACATCGGAAACCACTAGAGCCATTTCCCCACCACCAACCTGCCGCTGCGCTTGCCATCGTGATGCCTCGCGCCGCGATGGCATCAGCGGCGGAGGTCCGGACTTGATACTCCTCAGAGGGAGCCCAAAATGGCAACTGGGTGTATTTCATATCGCATAGTAATTATACCAGTTGGAGGCATAAATATCATGTATTATAAAGAATATATTATAATGTTGGAAGCTAGAATACATATGAAATACTATTATAAAGAATATATTGTATAAATACTTTATAATAAATACATATAAATACTATCTATATATATATCGAATATTGTTTGGCGCCATGTTCAATCTTCAAGTCTGGAGTAGCTGTGAGCAAACATTTATTCCGTCTGTCCTTTCTAGATAATGAACCATTAATTGAAAAAGTAAACAAGCAAACATTTCGACTAAGTTCCAGTCTTAGCACGATTTGGAAGTGCCCGTAGTTCCTTCTGTTGGTGTCTAAAACGAAGAATTGGAGTTTGCTGATAAGATCGGTGGGGACTAACGGATGTTTACAATTGCTGAAGTTTTCTTGTTCGTTGTTGGGTTTCTATCCTCAAATCTTGGTGAGTTGGTTTTCTGCGAAAAGATTTGCATCGCAAGGTACTGCGAAAATGGCCATGTGGAAAAGCCATGGCCAAGTGGGTTTCAAGGATACTATCATCTTTCATGATGGGGTTCTCCCTTCTGCTGGCGAAGTCATTCCTGGTTCCTGGAATCTCCGACTCAGCCGAAGTTCCACTTGGGGCCCTGGGTCAAGACCTGGTGCCCGAAACAGCACCGAAACAGCTGAGATTTCGGGACGTGTCATCGCCAGAAATATACAGAGGGGACTGCGGGAGTGCAACTTTCTGCATATGACTTAGTTTTTAGTTTAATGATCTCATTTCTTTCTGGTCACAAACCATATATTATATATTATATATTATATAATATATATATATATAATATATATATATATATATATATATATACTATATATATAATATATAATATATATATATATTCTTCATTGGCAAAACCATTAAACACAATCAATTTCTTCAATGTTGTCTGCACTTTGCTCTTCTGCTTTGGCATCCAAAAACCAATAAAAAAAAGCACGCCCACAGTCCCCCGCTCTCAAAATATACCCATTTCGGCAATGTGCTACCCGCGTTCCTGGGGGCACCATGAAATCCCAAACCGTCCGGTCCAAGTTTCGGTAACTTCATCGTCAGAACGTCCGCATGTTGATGGCACATGGGAACCCTGGCGTAGAATACCGACGTAACAGTGACATGGTAAAGGTTAGGAAACACAGAGCCACAGCCAAAACTGAAACCGGCGCCTGATGCAGTTGCCACAGAAGCAATGCCGCGGTCCAAGCAGCGGCAGATCTTCCTTTCATCGATGGTGGAATGATGTTGGAGCGATCACGGACCATCTAAAAATCCTCTGACAAACTTGAAGGGGATCTTCTCAATGGAATTCCCCAGGGAATTTCAGGATTTAAGGGTACTGCAAGTGGCCAGTTGCGTTCGGACTGGTGCCGCTCCTGGACTTGAACCGTTCGAGCCCCTGGATCTCTGCTCGCCAGCCTAGCTAGCGGCGACGGTTGATTGGTTCCCACCGCCATAAACCTGCCATGTGTGGATGATTTATAGCACCCATTCATGGGAAAAAATTGGGGATGGTTGATGATTGGGTTGCCCACATTAGTTCCCGATTTTTTTCTTTTTCTATTGAACTGTTCTTTGATGTTCTTTGTTTCTGGTATTAGGGATGGATAGTTCCCTTAAAAGCTAAATTCCCATGGAATTTTCCAGGAGGTCTCCGTCTTTTTTGGTGACCTTTGAGGGATTCGCGGTTTCCGGATGCTGCTTTTTGGGGAACTTCCCCAGGCTCGTTCGCCTCAGAAGCTGCAAAGTTGAAGGCTTCAATTTCCTCTCTCCAGCTTCGGCCAGGATGTGATTTAAGGATCCTGGCGGGAGGCGGGAGGTGCCGGGGCAGCCTGGTCTTCAGGGTCCATGTGGTGGATTTTTAGAAATCCAATGTGCACCCAGCAAAACTCCACCCTTGCGCCAAAAAGCTATAGAGAGTGAGAAGGTCGAAGGCTAATGTGGTAAACAAATATACATGTGTACATATACCACCGTGGAATATACATATTAGTGATATCCAATACTGTACCCCCGGTGCCTTCATAGCTCAGAGTAATCCTACCAAATCAGGTGTCTGTCTAAACAACGCAATCCCCAAATAGACAGAAAAGTCTGGAACCTGGCAATTATGGAGGAAACGTGATCTGTAACATCCTGTAGCATCCTGGAAAATACTTTCCACAGAAACTGTTCGGGGACCAATTTTTGACATCACCCAACCAAAAAGGGCATATCATCTCGACCACTAGAATATGTTGGTGATCTTCAAAATCTCAAAAAAGAAAAGACCAACGAATTTCCAACCGTTGAAATTTGGGTTTACCATACTTCATAGCAGGGATGAAGTATGAATCTCGCTCACAGGCACGCAGATCGCCTTCTGAGACAGCACGAGCCAGTGATTCACCATCCTCGGATGAGTGCAGCAACCATTCTCAAAAGAATGGGAGGACACAATTTTGAAGCGTAGCAGTCTACACCATATGGTATGTGTGTATGTAGATATATATATATGTATTATATATATATATAATCTCTTTATATATATATCATATATAATCTAATATATATATATATATATATCATATATAATCTAATTATATATATATGTTGTTTTATGAGTTTCATAGTTGTTTGGTTTCATATTCTCATACTTTCCCAACACCTGGCTACGGCCCCTTGCTGCCCAGCAACAGTGATGGACACCTTTTGCAGCTTTTGGTAGACCTGCCGAGAAGGTGACAGCGAAAACAGCGATACCCACTGGTCATTTAAGAGTTTGCTAGGGAAAATGGCTCGTGAAAAGATGATTTATGATGATTTACCTTTCAAGAATGGTGACTTTCTACAGCTATGTTGAATAACCAGAGGGTATATCCTTCACCAATTTTTCGAAAAAGGATAGGGATTCAGGGATTTTCCACGGCAACCAACCACTCAACCGGACTGAACCAAGAAGTGTAATCGAGAGCTGGGAAGGGTCAATACCTATGCCGGGATGAACATTCATTTGCAAGGGATGTCACCGCTTGTCACCATGGACTATGACCAGGTATGACCAGGGTGATCCCCTGGACCTCATTGGGACTATCTCACTACTATTTTTTTTTTATTTTCAAGAAAAAAGTGAAGGCATCACTATCTCAATCAACGACAATCAACAATACCAGGAAAATCATCTGTTGATTTTCATTCATTGAGATGATCATTTATTCTTAGTAACTGGATTACAATAATCGGTTAAAAAAAAAACCTGATTTTTCCATATGTCTTTTTAGTTCACCTTTCGCTTTCTGCCCTAGCACCTTCAAGAGATCTTTGGTGCTCCAGCCAGGCTTGGCTTTTTGAAGCACCGAATACCTCGATCTGCGAATCTGGGACGATCGTTCAGGTGGGCCATGGGTGTCGTGCTGCCGGAAGTTGCCGGGTAAAGCCACCGCATCAAAAATAACCCGTGAGTTATGAATGGGATATAGCCGCAGCAATATATGATATCATATAGACATATATACAGTGTGTATATATAATGTATACATACATATATATATATATACACATAATATACATAAATATAACATTTATATATATATATATACATACATACATACATACATACATTAATTACATTACATTACATTACATTAATACATACATACATACATACATACATACATACATACATAACATTACATTACATACATACATAACATTACATTACATACATTACATTACATTACATTACATTAATACATACATACATACATACATACATACATATGTGTATATACATACATAAATATATATATATATACAATATGCATATAATGGATGCAGGTGACCCAACAACTTACGATGTAGCCCGAAGTAACCACCTCAAACTGCCAAGTTACAGCGTGCCCGTGGGCGGAGGTTGGACCCGGAACGCCATGGGACCAAATCTCTCAACCCATGACCCGCGACACCAAAACAAGAGGCCGTTGAGTTGACATGTCGGAGAAACACACGAAAAATACTGATTTATCTATTGATACGCGTACAAACGAAGTATCTAGAATCGATTGACCTAAATAATTGATTCATCTATTGATACTGCTGATTTATCTATTGATATTGTTTTATCGAATAATCTATTGACTTGTTCTTTATGACTTCATGACCTTTAACAACTTTAACAGATCAAACATTTAGTTGTTCCAACTTGTCTTGGCAGGAGTCGGGATACATCATGAACCGCGGCCCGGTAAGGAAGGCTTTGTTCCCTGCAGCCAAACATGTTAAGCCAGCAGAATGAACACCGAGCCTCTGGGTGTGATCTTGGTGAAACGCGGATTACATTAATATGGGTGTTTTCCTAAAAATGGTTTTTTTCCCAATCTCAGTTTTCAGAAAGTGATCATATGTTTCACCATTTTTTATCTTGGGGGTAATCATTAATCCCATTCCATTCGGGATTCCAAAGGATTCCCCATGGCGCCAATGGCTATCGATGCCTCAAAAACCACCGATGATTTTTATGTCATCCCGATAATAAGCAAGGCGTCATCATTCTGCACCCGAATCCAAGCATCCAAGCCTCTTCAAGTCTCCCATCAAAGATCTTGTATATATCCATCTATATATATATATCAAAAAACAAACGTTCAACAGCTCACTTATTTTTCTTGAATATCTTTTTCATCAAAAAAATCCTAAGAACTTCCCCCAAAGTCGTCCCCCTCGGCACGACGACGGCACTTGGGTGGATCCAAACAGCGTCGCAGCCGTCCGATGCGCTCGCAGCTGCCGCCGAAGACTTGGTCCTGGATGTTTTTTATGGGGGTACCATTTGGTTATGACTATAGCCATGGAAAATCACCATGCTATAAGAGGTAAACCCAGGTAAACCATCTATTTCTATGGGCCATCTATACCATGGCTATGTTAAATCACCAGAGGGTATTTCATGGGTGAATCATGATGATTTTTACAATGGTGGCTGAAGACAGGATGTCACCAATAAGAATTGGGGTTGAATGAATGCCGGGTAGAAGATGTAAGAATGGAATAATGAGGATATAATCGTAATGTATATATAATATATATATATATATATCATATTTTTTTATATATCTGTAACCTGTATCTGTGACCAAAATATGATGTTTTCATCTTTGGGTGGGTCTAAAATGGTGGGATGTTTGGTTGTTCATGGGGAAAATGATGAAGTCTTCGAAGTGGAACAACCATATCAAATGGTGCATTCACACCTACGGATGAAAATTCGAACATGAAAATCCGGGTTGTTCGAAAATGTTAGACTCAAGTTCTGCCTACAGATTGGCGTGTCAAATAGAACCCCCCCACAGATTTTGCTAGTCATCACATCCGTTTCAAACCCATTTTGGGTAGTTTATATCCGCATGTTTTGCTTGTTTATATTCCCATGTCGATAGGGGTGTGTCTGAAAATGGGGTACAACCCTGGTATATGGTCATTTTGATGGGGATATATACGGGTGATTAGCCAATGCACTAAGGTCTTTTCCCCTCAATTTCCAAACCAAAGCCATTGACCATTGTTGCTTATATATATTATATATCCTACCATATTCCATTGTCAAATCATATCACCATTGTATCCCAATGATATTCCCATTAAAATGGTCGGTGTGTCTCATAAAAGAGGATTCCCGCATTTCCTCTAGAGAAAGGATCCCCTTTCGAGGGGCCCAAGCACCACATCGGCTCCAGCTTTTCTTTCTCACCCTTCACCTAAGGCGGAGCTCGGAGCTCGAGGTAGGTCGAGTCTCTTGGGCAATCTTTCTAAACAGCTAAACAGCCGTGAAAATGATCAAAATGAGGTTTGACACTCCGAAAACTGGCCGGAATTGAGCAGCAAGAAATACAGCAACACCAGTGAAACCCCGGTTTTTGCAACTCCTGAACCATCAGTTAGGCCCCTAGTCTTCCAAATCGTGTTTCTTTGCCGTACTAAAAATCCAAGGGTACCAAGGATCATATTTTATCCCTAACGCCCACGAGCATGATCAGTCGGTTTTAGTCGGAAAGGGTGCCCAACAGAGTCTTGCCGTGTCGGCATAAAACTGATGGGTTGTCCAAACCAGTGGTTGCTCTCAGTTTATATCATATATCCCCATCTTTAGTTTTTGTCCAAGCTTCATCTAGGACATATTTGACGCGGAGGACCTCTGGTTCAGAAACAAATGGGACTAGACAATCCTCAGCTTCTATATGGAAGCCAAAAAAATGTGCCTGCAAAACGCAGTAAATCCCGTTCAACGATAGTTCTATCTCCAGTTAGAACTGGAACTGCACCTCCTCATCGCAAAAGTGGTTAGTAACCCTAGGAAGCCCCATAAGTAGGGTTATCCCATCTATGTATTCATAAATATGGCTTGACCACTGAAGTGGGATGATTCTCCAAATATAGATTATGATTGGATATATAGCTATAGATTATCATTGGATATATAGCTATAGATGTTTTTTTCAATGTTAACTAATCATAGATTTCTAAGATAACCTCTATAGTTAACTATAGTTACAGTATAACCTCACTAACCATCGTTAACCAGTACTAACCAATACCAACCGCTATTAACCATTAATCACCATTATCATCTATAGTTATAATCTATGGATTATCATTATAACTATAGATTATAACTACAGTCATTTATGCTATAGATAACCTAAGATACTCTAATGAAAGCCTAGTGTTACCTTTCATCCATAAATAATGGAGTTTATCATAGTTAACAATAGACTATAGTCCAATGATCTATAATCATATTATAAATCATCTAATGATTATCACTATAAATAAATATAAACTACATATCGTATGACTATAAATTCAAATATAATCACTATCATCATACTATTCGAGTTATAATCACAATAGTAATCATCACTATAATCATAGATTATATTTATATTATCACTGTTAGAGTAATAGTGAAATAGTGTCAATATATCATTATTATTTACAATTCATAATGTCAACCCTGGATTAATAAACCCCAAACGGTTGTTTAATTGGGAGGATACCATTTAAGTATCAAATCATGACTATTTGGGGAATACCCCCCTAAAAAAAATAAACCATGGTTTAGCAAAATCCAGGGTTGACATTAATCATAATCTATGACGTAAATAGATCATCGCTCCGGCTGGGCCCTGAGTTTCCCAAACGGCTTTCAGCAACAAATCTCTGGTGGCTTCCGCTGTGCTCAAGAGGTCGCGTTCCGCCCTCAGGCCGCGGCTGTTGGAAATTTCCTATGGAGTTCTTGGGAAAATCGTGGTTTAACCACAGGAAAATGGGGGATTTAATGGTGATTTAATGTGATTTAAATGATTTAATGGGATTGAATGGGATTTCATGGTGAGTTACTGGGATTTAGAACTAATTGACGTGGGACTTCTTGCGAAAATCGATCAATGGATGGGGGTTTTCCGAAGGGAAAATCTACAGTTGCAACCTGGTGATATGGCCCAAGCAGAGGTTTCTTGCAAATATTCCTTTCAATCAATTCTGAGAGAATTGACCCTTAATTTTGTTCAAAGGGCTAGAAAACCCAGCATTATTTAATACCCTCAGGTAATCAATCATGGCAATTGAAAATCCTCTATAAATTGCGTTTTCATGCGAAATCATCGTCAAATGGTGTATTAATCATCCTCATGCTATGCGATTTTCAAAGGCTGATTCATGGATTCCTTCCCAAGAGCCTCTGGTTCCCGCTTTTAACTTTGGAGCCCTCGGTTATTTGACCATCATGAATGGGATGCTTTAGAATGGTTGTATTGATCCCATTGAAATTGGAGGGATGCACGTATATTGGGGAGTATCACAAACAAATCTTGCAACAATGCCAATATGAACGAAAATGACGACAAGAAACATGTTGAGACGGAATCCAAAATGAGATCGGCAGATTAGTCACATCCTAACCATCGACTCCCGAAGAAGGGCACTGATATTCCCTGACCTACTAAACTGGGGAAATTCTCAAGGAAGATCTGGGAACCAACCACGCCAAGGAGATGATGTTTTTTGCACAGAAAAAATCGCCCAAAGATGAGTTATTCTAGAAAACGATCATTGCAAACATAGCTTTACTTAGGACATGATGGATTTCAATCGGACGTCTTTGTCTCTCAAGGTGAACCAGCAAAACTTGATCCATGGGGGACACCTGGAATATACCAATGAGGTAAACATGGTAAACATGTTCGGTAAAGCAATAGCAAAGCAGCCATGTTTTGATGGTGGCAATGATGTATGATATGTTTGGGGATGGTTTACGGTTGATTTACTTCTACGAAGCCACCATACCAAGCCACCATAGTTCAAACACTCCATGCACTTGCAGAGGCCTTACCTATACCTTACGTATACCTTACAGCCGATACGGCAAATACAGGGACTCAGACCTTAGATAAATGCTGAATGCTGGGATTACCAAGTCAGCACGATCCAAAAACCACACTGTGAAAAATCGGGAGATATGTAATTGTTTAGACTAGACTGTTCAGAGTTGGATTTACCCTCTGGTTATGACTCACATAGCCATGGAAGCCATGGCCCTAATCGAAATAGATGGTTTACCTATTAATAGCATGGTGGATCTTTCCATGGCAAACTGTGAATGTCATAACCAGATGGTACCAGGGCCTTCTCCACCAAGCTTCGCTCGACCCTTGACGGCGGAATCCAGGGTCGCTAGCTGACCTGGCGGTGAAATCACCCA